GCGGAGGGAGCCCCGGTGTTTCTCCCGCGGACAACAGCTGCAGCACCGAGTGCTCGCCCTACCTGGTAGCGGCCGGAGAGCAGCTGGCTGCGGGACGGGGTGCAGAGCGGCTGGGTGTAGTAGCGCTCCAGCCGCACGCCGTCCGCGCCCAGCGCGTCCAGCCGCGGCGTGCGGATGGCAGAGCCGTGCCAGCCCACGTCGCCCCAGCCCAGGTCGTCGGCCAGCACCAGCACCAGGTGCGGGGCGGGCGGCCGGGCCGCCGCCGGGCGCGGGAGGCAGAGGGGCGGGAGGCAGAGGGGCAGGAGGCAGAGGGGCAGGCAGAGGAGCCGGCTGAGAGCCATTCCCCTTCACGCCGGCCTCGCTATGCCCGGCAGCAGGAACTGGGCCGCAGGGCCCGCCCTGGGCCCGGGGCTCCGCCCGCCGAGCGAACCGGGCGGGGAGGGGGCGGTGCCGGGGCGGGGCAGGGCCCGGACGCTCCCTGTCCGAGCCGGGGGGCGGGGGCAGCACGTGCTGCGGGGAAAGTGGTGTGGTTTTAGGCAGGTGAGTTTTGGAGTGAGTTGAGAAAGGAAATTGTAAAGCTGTTGCTGGTGTTGGCAGAGTATCCGACTCGTTGATGCTGGCGGACCGTTCTAATTTTGACTTGCTTCAACTCTTACATTAAACACCCGTTTTAAACCACGGAGCCTTCCCCCAGGGGAACCAGGTAACTATGTTCAAGCTTGTGTTTCAAGTAATCTATGATTTCGAGGAAGTCAGTACAACATTATGAGAAGAGGACACAGCGCTTTCAGGTACAAAAGCTGTATTTCTGGGCTGTTATTTCTGCCTTCGTGGCAGTTCAGCCAGATCTAATATATACTGCCTACAGAGTTTATTCTGTGCTTAAGCAAAGTGAGACAGCTGCAACACAGACATGGCCTTGCTGCTTGCCAATGTGTGCTACAGCCTAGGAAAAATGAGTTGCCACCGTCACTGAAGATGCAGCTGAGCTGAGCAAGATGGAAATTATTCCTATTGGAGAAACTCTCAGTATCAGCTGCTCTCTTTCACACACAAGCACACTCACTCACAAACGAGACCCATGTGTGTCATCCCTCCCTCCTCGCCCTCAACCCCTCTGCAAAACCGTAAAAGTCACAGTGCTTTTTTCTTTTCATTTTGCCCATACAAATGAGAAGCCTTGATCTAGGTCTGGCTGTAAGATGGTGCTAGTGACAGTTACAGTGTAGGAAGGAAGTGAAGCAACTATTTCTGCAAACCATGTAATTGCCTAAAGCAATAATGGAAACAACCGCTACCTTTGTTGTAATTTTGATGTAAAATCTAAGACTGTGAAAGGACAGAAATAGCTATCAACTTTGATCAATTTTGTTCATCCATGGAATACACATAAATTTCAGTGTCCAGCTGAAGATCAAATAACCATATGTTTCACATTTAGCTAGAATGTTACATATGTGTATTGCCAAATTTATACAGCCATTTGGTAACAGGTCAAAGAACAGTCCACATTAAAAACGTTTTCTTGGTAAGAAAGCCAAATATTGAGCATGCTAGACTCCTGACTACTTTTTTTTTTTTGACTACTTTCTTTTTGATTTCTCTGTAGAAAGTTAGTTCATGCTTCTGTGAATGAAGTCTAGTGGATAGGCCTATGAAGCTATCAGGTTGGGGTTTTTTAAATGCCACTGATTTCCCTGCTGGTTTGAAAAAACCAGCAATTATGAGTGATGCTAGATTTTTTTTCTACAATGAGAATATGCTATAGTCCATAGGCAGTACTGGAACAGGAAGCAACAGTACTGTCCTAAAGTCAGTTTTTCCTGAAGTAAATTCCAGGATTGCTGACAAGCTGGTATGTAACTATTAGTTGAATTTTCTTTATTGAGATGTGTTTCATGCTGTTCAAAAGCAGCAAAGTTCTGATTTATCTTTTTCCTAGTTCAGATCTCATGATCAGTCTCAGATGTCTCACTGAACTATTTATTTTTCTAACTTCTTCCATGTCCTTATTACAGGTAAAGTTTCATTCAAAGTACATTCCCATGGAAACCATTTTAGTTCATTCAAAATAATTACTTTGAAAATCTGCATAGTGCTGGTGAAATCAGAAATGGTGGATATAAATTTTGCAATAAAATTAATCATAGCTATTGACCTGTGATGTTTCCAAAGTTACCATGGTATTCAAGAGCAGCTGAACGAATATTCCCTTGTGTCAAGAGTTATGTGCTGATTATCCTACTTTACCAGAACAGGATAACCTGGTTGCCGGAGCTGACAGTTAAAACATTAAATTGAACTATCAGAAACATATACTGCATATACTGCACATTCACAGTCTGGATGTTGCTGCCTGTCATATTTTCTAAGTATTTGTGTTTTATTTTATATTTTATTACTTGTTGAGGGAATTGGAATACCAATCAGAAAATACTATTTACACCAGACAGTATTCTCTTGAATCAAATGAATAAATCCTGCAAATGGTCTATATTCAGTCTCTTGTGTTTCAGTCTACCTTTTCTGAATTTGGAGTTGAATAATTTGGATGCTGTTTTGGGGTCAGCGATTAATGAAGCCATTAGAGTGACACATAAGATTATGGTATCCATGTGGATTTATCATTCCATACAAAGCACGAACATGACACTTTTTCCATGGAAAGTTGGAGCAAAAATTCAAATGGTAATAGTAACATCTACTCTGATATACAAATACTCTCTGGACTTGGAATAACAAGGGAAAATGACAAAAAATATGTCTGAGAAAACAGCCTTTTGACATATCCTGGATCTGAGTATTTCAGAAAATTTCGTAGATGACCAACTGTCATTTTTTCATCTCGTTGCAGTTGTCTTCTCTGTTAGCTAATGGGGTTGCAGAAGACTCCAGAGAAGTCCCTGTCAATCTTTCTACCTTGGTATTTCTGTTTGGTTGGTTAAAAGCGCTCTTAAAACATAGATGTACTACTTAAAACACTCTTGCTCCTATTCACTTACTCTTGCTGTATCTTGGCACCACAAGTTTATGCAACACCATATCTCAACTTGCAATGAAAAGAAGTGACAGGAAACTACAAAAGCTGCTGAACACTTCCCCCATCTCATTTCTTCAGGTTTATCTTTTTTGTTTTTAAATAACCTTGAAAGATTGAGCTATATATATGAATCTCTCTGTGGCCATGATTTGTAAAACTTTGTCTTAATACTGTTTCATTTATCTGCATTGTGCAAGAAGCTGCAATGTTGAGCTACCCTGATGAATACTCAGTAAGCTGACTTGGGTGTCAGAGGAGTAAAAAAGAAGCTAGGTCACCTAGGAAGCCCTTTTAGACATATGGCTATCACAGCTATAGCACTTCTAATACTCAGCCATCATTGCTTAAAACTACTTCTGGTGTCTCTGCTCCTGAATGCATTGTTAAACAGAAAGCACAGCCATTCTTAAGAAGTAACAGAATGCCACCAGCTCTCAGATACTCCATTTCTCTTACACACAGTCAGTAATGAACAGGAAGTTGTTTTAGTCTTCTAACTTGCCTGCAGGAAAGAAACTTTACATTGCCCTGTCCCAGAAACATCATGACATATTGTCTGCTTATCTAAATCTTGAAATTAAATGAAAATTAGAATAATAGAATATGCTGAGTTGGAATGGACCCACAAGGACCGCATCCAACTCCTGGCCCTGCAGAGGACAACCCCAAGAATCATATCATGTGCCTGAGAGCATTGTTCAAAAGCTTCTTGAACTCTTAAACAGTTTGGGCCTGTGACCATTTCCCTGGGGAGGCTGTTCCAGTGCCCAACCACCCTCTGGGTGAAGAACTTTTTCCTGTATCTAACCTAAGCCTCCCCTGACACAGCTTCATGCCGTTCCCTCAGGTCCTGTCACTGGTCCCCACAGAGAACTGTGGTGTCTGCCTCTCCTCTTCCCCTCACAAGGAAGTTGTATCCTGCAACGAGGTCTCCCCTCAGTCTCCTCTTCTCCAGGCTGAACCTGTCTGGACCTGTATAATACTACACTGTACAATGAGACAGGTCTGCATCAGCTACGTGGAGAAATTAGGGGTTGGGAGTTACAGCTAGAAATGCTCATGGAGGGTACAGTTTCTGAGTTCACCTGACTACAGAAATTGTATCTGCTATTTTGCTCGGGCTGCAGAAAGCCTGTCCTTTCTGCACAGTCAGAGTGATCCAGTTGATGTGTTCATGAATACACTTCTTTCTTCCAAGTCAGAAAAGAAGTTACAAACCTGATTCTAACTTTTCAGACTGGGATATGTGGGCATCATTGGAACAATTTTGGCTTAGCAAAGCTCATTAGGAAAGTATATGTGAAAGTCTGTCTCAGAGGGACTGTTAACGGTACACTCCAGATTGTGGTGCCTAGTGAATTTGCATAATCTTGGGAAATACTGAAATTCAAAACTATGTTCCTAAGAATTGCTCTTCTCCTCCATACTCTAAATAAAATGATAGAGCATTGTGTTGTATTTTAAATTCCTTAAATGCTCACAGAGTGACAGTGGCTCAGTGCCTCACAAATAATGTTGCCTTTAGAAAAAGTAACATCTCTGACTGGTTCAGCAAGATAGAACTCAATCACTTATGAAAGTATAACATAGAATAATTTCTGAATGGTAGCTGAAGATAGTACTATATGCAAACCTGGCAAAGCTTGTATTTTATTAGCTGAATTTTATTTTGACCTGCTTTTTAAAAGATATTCAGAATAGCACAATGTAATGTCAACTAAATTATCAAGAGTAAGTGTTCATTATAAAAATCATGTTTCTCCTGGTATATGCTATTTATACATTTGCTTCTTTGCTGAAGATTCACAGGCACCAACTCCTTTGAAGAAAGTACATTTTGGACATTATTTGTACGTACTTTGAAAACATTTATCTATAGCCTAAAGGAGAGCATTACTTTCTTTCTGTAAGTTAGAAATTTTAACGTTGTTATTCAAAAGAATTGTTGAGCATATTATTGAACTCAGAAGAGTGTTTTATTAATTTAGTGTGTTCCCACCATACACCAATCCTGCTTACTCAGGTTATTGAATATTGAACAGTCAATAAAGCTCCTTTGCTGTCAATTTAATTATATTTTTTCATTTTTAATATTTCTGTGTAATAATATAAGGCTCTTACTGCTGTTCAATCTATAATTAACAGAAAAAGGAAGAACTGACAATCTTTGGCGTCTGTCTAGCACTTCAGATTTCATACAGTAAATCCATTGATACAGTACTTTAAGTTTTATTCAGAAACTGAACAATAACATCATGTGTGTTGTAGAATATTACATGTAATCCGCCAGATGATTCATGTGGAAAAATGAAGAATGGGCTTCCTATAACTATTTCATTGAGAAGAACTAGATTTTGATCTTCCATGAGAATTTCTGCCACTGGGAAAAAATGTCAACAGTTCAGTTTGCCTTTAATAACGCCTTTATTATTTTTAATGGTTGATGGAATGTATTTCAATTCCTTATGAAGCATTCTGAGAACTAGTGATATGATTTTAATGATGAGTTTGCTATTCGTGTTGTAAAGAAGCCCGGGTAAGCTACTTTACCCCGAGGGCAGGCAAAGGAGGAACTGTTGAGTGTCAAGAAGGAGGAGGAAATTGCTATTGGACAGTATCAAGAGCACCTTCCTTGTATGCATTAATGCAGATCTGCCAGCCAGCATGGGAGCAAGCTGAATCAATGATCTACTACTCATTCCCTGCCACTTTCTGCTCACAAACGCTACTGGGAAGCAAGTGCTTCTGTTCACAAATGCTACTGGTTCATCAACTCTGCTCAGATCTCTACTGTGAACAGCCCACACAAGGAAGTAGGAGGGTAAGACCATTGAATTTCTCACTGATGTATGGCAATGAGGATCTTGTGCTGAGTAATTAGCAAATCTCAGTAGTTCAATTCTCTTAATTTCATGCATATTAATAGCACTATTTCCTACTGCATAATTTGCTATATCCTCATCTGAGTTTATATTTTGGGACTTTCACCCTTTCTCTGAAGGCGTATTCTTGTTGGTTCAGTCAGCACCAGTGGCTCTTGTATAATGGTTGCTGGATAATTTTTACCTAAAAGTTCAACTTCCAATTTCTGTCCAACTTTGCTGAGTTCCGTGGGAACATATGCAAAAGCTAGACTCTGCTGAGCACTATAACTGAAACATCCTGATGTGGTATTGCCAATAACCTGAAAGAAATCACAAACAATTATTTTAATTTTCAAGATGCAGTGAGATTTTCCTAAAAAAAAACCCCAACCAACAAGCCAAACAACTACACATCTGTCAGAGACTGGATTCACTCCTCACTGGATTGTTTGATTGATGGGTTGAATAAACCATGTTGTCTGTTTGTGGTGGGAGATGTGAAGGCCTAGGCTCAGGCCGGGAGCCAACATGGCCACGTCCATGCAGAGCACATGGCAGGAAAAGCCATGTGGCTGGGCTGCCGCCTGGTGGCCTGCCCACACCACACACCCTGGAGCCTCTAATTGGCTGTGGCACCCCTCGCTTTGGCTGGGGAGACAGTGAGTGGCAGTGAGCCAAGGTCCCACCAGGGGGGAGTGGCCACAATAGCCAGAATCTATAAATAGACATGCACAGGGTCTCTATCTCCCCCTTGGCCTCTGCCCTCCTGACCTGTCAACATGTGACCTCCAAAGTGGTAAATATGTCTCTCTCGTCTCTCTCTTTATTCTTTCTTCTCTTAATCTCTCTTCCTTTACTCCTGTGGGCAACTTGTCTGTATTTCGCTTAAGTTATGGTATTTCACTTAAGTTTGTATTTGCTGGGTGTAACAAAGGTTTCCTTACTATAGCAATGCTTGCTAGTTTCAGTAATCTGTTGTAATGCTTTTGTGAAGTCTCATGTTATTTCTGTTAAACCCTTTTTGCCAAAACCCCTATTTTCTCACCAAATTAAAATCTCTTAGAGAAAAATGTGTAGTTTTTCTCCAGACATGAACTCAAGGTACCAGAGAATCAAAAGATTTTGCAAGAGTTTGTGTAGGCAAAATCTCTTGATGCCTGAAATAAAAGTTTAACACCTGGAAAAGTGCAGAGCTTCTAAACCGGGTTGTAACAACATCTCGCATTTTGGTTTATACACTTCAGACATTAAGCAAGTTTCAAGTGTGTCATGCAGTTTAGAATAGTCTCAACTGAGAGTAATATCACCTGAAACTGGGAAGTTTTTGCTCCTTGACAAAATAGTCTATTCCTGCTGCATTTAGTTAAGTTTTCACTGGAACATACAGTATACACATGCATATGTTTATTATCTACAACACTTTAACTGCCAGTGAGTGTTTCAACACATAATATATGCTGAAATGTGGAGGCCTGAACTTTGCCGTTGTTTCATTTCTTTTAAGTGAACAGCAAAAGTGTTGTTAGGAGAATAGTGAAATTGCTAAAGAAGAAAACGGATGACAATCCTTTAGTCTGTTCCAACCCTAGTTTCTGTGACTCTTGGTAACATTTCACATTTTCTCTGTAGATACTTCATTACCCTTTGCTTCCTGGATGAAGATTAGAAAGTGTTTATCATAGTTTCAAATTGATCTGTGCTGGTAAAATAGAAATAATGCATTTACACTTGAAACACAAAGTTAGATTCTGCTTTTGCAGAATTAATATTGATTTCTTGTAACATACAGAATCTATATTCCTTGCCTTGCCATTGTGCCACACACTTTCATTTCCCTCTGGATCAACATTATCTGTTTCCAGGGTGAGATATACCAGTCGTCGTTTGAGCCCTTTTTCTTTAATCTGCTTCAGTGCTTGCTTTCCTATAAAGTCTGCTGGCTGAAAAAAATAGAAGATAATGATGATATATGTTTATTTGGGTTCTGCAAAAAGTTTAGAATTATAAACGTTTAAATTTATCTTAATTTCTTTTCCTGTCACTTGAGTATTTTGTATGAAATATAGATGAAATCAAATCTTTGACAGATAGTATCTTGGTATTTTTATATTGGTCTACTCTGGCCTCCAATCGGGAGGTCTGGAGACACACCATCTATAACGCTGCTGATGCCTTTGAGAAAGCACGCAGGATCACCCCGGAGGAGAAAAGACAATGCAGAAAGAATCGTGTCTTGCAGAATATACCACCTAAGGAGTCTTTCTGCTGTGCCTTTTGCAGCCGGACGTGCCTATCTCGTATTGGCCTTTTTAGCCACCAGCGCGCTTGTAACAAACGTGGGTAGAGCCCTTCCCAAATCTTCATTTGCGAAGCCTAGCCATGATGATTTTTATATTGGTACACTGTATGTTGGTAATTTTATTCACTTTATTTTTTTTCCTGGATCTCAGTACTTTAATATCAATAATTCCAACATAGTAGAAATACACATGCAGTGAGATGTGTAACAAGACTATCTGCCCAGTTAAGGTTATAAGACAGAAAACTGCACATCATTTCAGTTTCTATGAACAAAAAGGGAATTCCAGTACCCAGATCCTAAAGTTTGGGCCTTCCTCTGTGAACACACTTCCTTTTGATGCTGTATCAACCATGACAGTAACTTGTCAGTATTTCACTTTGGTGTCTCTGCCAAGCTGCACAACAGGCAGTTTACTCCATATTCTTGTTTTAAGGTAAGTATGTTTTTTTCCCATATCTCCCATTTTAGGGGATAATGCTGTGTGTTAGGTAAAGAGTAATATTATTGTTTGGAGTTCCCTTGCTTAGAAAGGTACAAGCAGATTTCATATTTCTGGAAGCAGACTACATAAATGCATGACAAGCATAGAAGCAGTCATCAGCAAGTCTCCGAATCCTCAAGGGTATACAGGACAGTATTTACTGTATGTGATCATGTTGAGCTGATTCCACTAGCCTGATTATATCACAGAATCACAGAGTCATTTAGGTTGGAAAAAACCTCTAGGATCATTGAGTCCAATCTTTGAGCAATCACCACCTTGTCAACTAGACCAAGTCATTTCTTGAACACCTCCAGGGATGCTGACTCCACCACCTCCCTGGGCAGTCACTTCCAATGCTTTACAATGCTTTCTGTGAAGAAATTTTTTCCTGATGTCCAATCTAAACCACATCTGGTACAGCTCAATGCCATTTCCTCTCATCCTGTCACTAGTTGCCTGGGGGAAGAGGCTGACCCACACCTGGATACAACCTCTTTTCATGTAGTTATAGAGCGATAATGTCTCCCCTGAGACTCCTTTTGTCCAGGCTAAACAACCCCAGCTCCCTCAGCCATTTCTCACAGGACTTGTGCTCCAGACCCTTCACCAGCTCCATTGCCCTCCTCTGGACACACTCCAGCACCTCAATGTCTTTCTTGTAGCGAGGGGCCCAGAACTGAACACCTCATTCAAGATACATCCTCAGCAGTGCTGAGTACAGGGGAACGATCACTTCCCTAGTCCTGATGGTCACACTATAGCTGCTACAGGCCAGGATGACACTGGCCTTCTTGGCCACTTGGACACACTGCTGGCTCGTGTTCAGTCACTGTCACTGTTGATCATCACCCCCGTGTTCTTTTCCACTGGGCCACTTTCCAGCCACTCTTTCCCCAGCCTATAGCACTGCCTGGGGTCATTGTGACCCAAGTGCAGGACCTGGCACTTGGTCTTACTGAACTTCGTACCACTGGCCTTCATACCACAGCTCATCAATCCAGCCTATCCAGATCCCTCTGCAGAACTTTCCTCCCTTCAGCAGACCAACACTCCCACACAACTTAGTGTCATCCATAAACTAACTGAGGGTACACTCAATCCACTCATTCAGATCATCAATAAAGATATTAGGTAGTATCGTGGCCAGGTTCACAGCTATGAGCTTATTTTGCCAACCAATAGCTGTGAACCTGATACCTCACATTTAAAGCTGAAGACTTAAATGTAACTTAAATGGAACCCAGACAATTTAGTTGGCTAGGTAGAGAATAAATTGGAAAAAGGAGCCACAGAAAAAAAGCGCTATTATAAACACTTGGTCCTGGACAAAGTTCTTTGAGAACCAAGGGAAAGCCCATTTCAAAGATGCTGAGAATTAGGACAGAGTATAAAATAGTAATCAAGCTGGATATCATTATTTCTAATAACTGTACAGTACATCTTAGGAACAGTGCCTTGCCAGTTCTACCTATTCATTTTTTAAGATACAGATCAGGCAAAACAAAATAATTGTATTCAGCTAAACTGCCAGATACATACCGGTCATAGGCAAGAAACATAATAGCAGTTACAAAGTCCTCTAGCTTTCCAGCCTTTGCTGAAGAGATGACTAGCAGTGAAAGCTATTTTAAGGCAGTTGATCTTAGGTCTGAAGCAGGAATTATATTCATTGGATAAGTGCCTTAGAGAAAAGAAATTAAATATTGTTGAAGACTTCAAAAATACTATTTCTGGTAATGTTCTTTAGAGATAATTCTGTAGAGAAGTGTTGCACTGTCTTACCATCTTACTGAATTACAAGCAACACATATTATACTTGAAATACATTATTATACAGTGAGTTCATGTGTTCTTGCAGTTCTTCATGTTCACATACGTCTCGTGTGCAGGCTTACAAGAAATTATTAAAGGAATGAAGAGTTTTTGCACTATTAAAGGTTAGGCTCTGTAAGTGGTTGTGAAAAACAGCTTATGAACCAGTTAAGGACGAGTTAGTCTGGAAATTGAGGTGAACCAACTGAAGATAAAGCAGATACTGTGCACAAGGACCACAGATGGCACTCTTTGGGGAAAGACAGCATGAAATATAGCTCAGGTCAGAAAAGACTGTGAGGATTCATTTTAGAATATAACTGTCAAGAGGCTTCTGGAAAATATAAAGCTAATATCTCAGACCAGACAATATTCAGCAATTGTAGTTCCCTCTCACTTTTCTACTACTTGTAGCCTGAGGTGCATTTTGACAATGGAATTCAGGTAGTCACTGAGTAGAGTTGGAGGAGATGACATGCAATTAGTGATAAGCAGACAGGGAAAGGAGCAAGAAACAGTGGAGAAGGTTTTGTGTTGGTATTAAAAAAAAAAAGAAAGGAAAAGCTGGTAGAGTAGGCCAAAGAAAATGTAAGAAATTCTGGATACAGAAAAATCACAGAATTACAGAATATGCTGTGTTGGATGGGACCCACAAGAATCATCAAGTCCAACCTTAGCCCTGCACCGGACCATGTTCAAGAATTGCACCATGTGCCTGAGAGTATCAACCAAATGGTTCTTCAACTCTGTCAGGCTTGGTGCTGTGACCACTTCCCTGGGGAACCTTTTCCAGTACCCAGCTACCCTCTGGGTGAAGAACCCTTTTCTATTATCCAACCTAAATCTCCACTGACACAACTTCAAGCCATTCCCATGGATCACTACAGAGAAGAGATCAGTGCCTGCCCCTCCTCTTCCACTCAAAAGGAAGTCGTAGCTGCAATGATGTCTCCCCTCAGTCTCCTCTTCTCTAGGCTGAACACACCAAGTGACCTCAGCTGTTCCTCATATGGTTTTCCCTCAAGGAAAACCCTTCACCATCTTCGTTGCCCTCCTTTGGACACTCTCTAACAGCTTAATATCTTTCTTATATTGTGGTGCCCAGAAGTGCACACAATATTCAAGGTGAGGCTGCATCAGCACAGAGCAGAGCGGGAAATCTGGAAAGAAGCTTGGAATGCAGAACAAAGAAACTGCCCCAGTAAATAAAGAGGGCTGAGGCAAAGAAACACTGCCTCAGTAGTTTCTCCTAGTGGAAACAAACATGAGTTATGAGCTAAGCACTCGGATCCTGGCCTGTAAGAGCACACTACTGCAGAGTTCCAAAGAGTTTCCATCATCTACTGCATTTTGTTCCCAAATCGCAGTGGGCTGTTGCTGCAGAGAGCGTGACCAGGAGATGGCAGTCTTGGATACAGCAACGCAAGCACAAATGAGCCGACTGCGGACTTTAAGCTCTTAATAAATGTTATCACTATTGGATTCACAAGGAAAACCCTTATGAAAGAGTTCCATGAACAACTTAAACTGGCATGGATGTTTTTCTCTGTAACATCAAGTTTTATCGGAACTTCTGGTCCATTAAGCTCAGGACAAAAATAAGTTGGTTTAAGCATTCAGAGGTGAATACGCTACGTTTTTGAGCACTCCAAAACCTAAGCAAGTGAAAATGTGCAGAACAATATTCTCAGACATGGAGCAAAAAGAAATGCAACTTTTTCTTCGTTAAAGTTATTCTGTGAACTTCCTGGCGCAGAGACTGACATTAGGACTTTATTCAATATTTAGTAGCAGAGTGCTTATTCATGAGATGAGGCTATCTAACTTACTAAATTCAATTAAACAACCAAAAGAAAGGAACAGGTATTAAAAGAAATCTCATCACTAAAATGGACAGATTTTTGTTGTGAAGTTGTGAAGACATTATATACTCTAAATTAGAAATTAATCTCGTTACTGTCCCTCCACTTTGGTTTAATTGCAGCCCATCCTGCTCATCTGTGCAAGGAAGCAACTAACACCAAATTAGAGAAAAAGAGATTATTAAGCAGAGTCTAGAGGAAACCACCTAGAACAATGCCATCTCCTCAGCCTTACTGACAAAATGAAAGTTGCCACAGAAATCCTGAGGAAATGGGTTTACTTATTGCCATGTTATAATTGAAAAAAAGTCAGCTTAAGCTTTTAAGAGTTTCTCCTATTATTAATAAAAAAAAAATTACTAGTCCATGTGTACCTGAAGATGATGCATACACTAAACTTTCTAAACACAGAGAACATCAGGAATTTATTAGGAAATTATATCTCTTGATATATATTCCCAGATATTTGAATGCCCTCTTGTGGAAATTAAAATTCCTTTTGATCATATTACCTTCACTGGCATCTGGTTCTTCATTTGTTTTAATCTGTTTAGAAACTATTTTCATTTTCCATGACATACCACTCAAGATTCACTTATGCTGAAGTCTTTTTTTCTTTTGTGAGCTATTTCAGCTCCTTGTTGCACGGTAAGAAGCAATTAACAGAGATCAGCACTTTCCCCACTTGGGGGCACATGCTTTCCTCACAAAGATTATTGCTGGTGAGGAACCCAACACACCAAAATGTCAAAAAGAAGTATTTAAGTATCTGTTGTAGTTTTTATCTCGTTTGCCCTTTTCGGGGGGAAAGTTTCCTTAACCATAGGAACAGGTGAAAAAAGAGTATTGCTTGTCTTCAGTCACAGTGGCCTGTAAAGAATGCTGAGGTCTACGCTATGCTAAATGTACAACAAAACCAGAGGCATGGAACTGGGATTCAAACTGCCAAGGAGCAGAGTAAATAATCTTACACTGCATTTCATACTACAAGTGCTTCCAATATCTGAATAAGCTCAGGTACCTCCGAAGTGTCAACATACAGTCACAACTGCCCTCATTTGAGTCAATAAAAAAAATTGATTATTTCCTTTTTCACATTAGTTCAGCAAAACTGGCAAATGTTTTAAGCTGACACTCTGCATCTCTGCTGGAGATTCACTCCATGTCCATTTGCCTACAGTGTGAGTATCCACTCCAAAGAACTGCTCCAACCCTGCAGAGAAGTGCGCAGAGCAATTAGAGAATCAAGTGCTTCATGCGCATTAGTGCCTTCATATGTTTTGCACAGGCATCTTGGCAAGCAATGGCTTTCCCTGTTTATGGCTGCTTTCCTACTTACACTAAAGGGGGGAAAAAAAAGAAAACAAACATGTATCAAAAGGAAGTGGAAAGAAAAATGGGTAATAGTAATATTACTTCTTTATTGCATATCCCTGCAATCCTGCTAATCTCTCCTCAAGATGAGAAAATCCTTTTGCAAATACAGCATAATCTTAAGATTCTGTATTTCCCTAGCATGTGTCACTTATTCTGATTAGGGCAAAATTATACTAACCAATGTAAACAGCTGTAACTCCACTGCATTTAGAACTGCCACTGCCACTCCTGGGAGCACCTTTCCTCAATCCTACACAGGTTGAAGAACTTTAACCTTTATAGACAGGTTCAACAGTTGGGGAGGAAAATCACTTTCCTGGGCTTGTTGCTGTTAATCGTTGGTGAAATTGTCTCATAAAAGCATTGTTTTAGGTTTAACACACCTCCATAATTCTTTCCTATGCAAGGTTTAACATTTGCTTTTTATTTGGAGATGTAACTTAAAGTTCTGCATTCTTTCTATCAGTTCTACAGTGCCCCCACATAACATGGCAAAAATATCAAGGATGATTTATTATCTGATTTATTACCATTTCAGGTATAAAGGGAGCATAAATAAGAACAGTTTGTCCCTGTACCACATTACATCATTGTAAAGATGAAATGTTTCACATTTTTTCTTCTTGATCTCCCTTACAAAAAAAGGTTGGCACTTCATTTTACAGATAAAAAATGGAGGAAAAATATTAAGCCAAAAATAGCCCCTTATTTAGCGCACCTCACTTGAAATCTCTAGGACCAGGTTTTTCACATTAGAAACTTCACTTCCATTGTGCAGGCAACTACTGTTTGAGTTGATGGACTAATTGATAGCAGCAGATGGCTTTAGATCTGCACAGGACATGATTTCACTAAGTTTCATGGAAAGGTCCTCTATTTGACAGAGTTTGGACTTTTCTTTTGGGATTCAATTTGGACCAGGAAAGAGAATTACAAGCAATTTCTGTATCTATTAGACTAGAAAAGAATTTGAATTGCCAAAATATTAATACAAGAAAGTGAGATTGCTGATAAAAGGAGATAGAATAACATCTTTTTTAATGCACATTTAAATGCAACTAGCTCCATTCTCTAAACTTCAAATCAGGTGGGAAAAAGTTATGAGCAGAGGACCTCTTCAGAAGTTCTATGAACAACTAATTATTTTTTTAACCAAAATATTATTTTATATTATATTTAACTTATTATTGTCAGTTGTCAACCAGCATTTCTAAAAAATATATTTGTTTTTCCATAATTGTTGTACTAGAGTGGTAGCCAGGGAAAAAGATCCTAGAGACATCTGCTTTAACAAGAATAAGCAGGCAAAACATTTTCAAAATATGAACAGGTTTGTTCAACTTGTGTATATATACTATATGTTTACAAAAGTATATGACTAAAGTTTCTCTCTGAAAATAAATCACAAAGAATTATTTTTCATGTCAAAAACATTTAGTATTTGCAACTTTCTGATCTATTGTATAATTCTGTTGGCAAAAAACATGGGAAAATTTTTTTAAACAAGTTGGTACTTATAAAGTAATTATCCTTATAATTATAGTTGCACAGTTCAGTTTCTAAACCTGTTTTGTTTTCCAGATAATGACATTTTTGATGTTCAAACACTTAAAGGAATAACCCTGGACATAATAGAACACATTGAAAATAATAAGACATACCTTGTTTAGCTTTACAAAATATTCCAGTCCAGCTTCCAAGGGATTAGTGTCACAGTTCATCTGTTAAAAGATATAAATTCACGATCCAGCAATGAGGGTCCATCATAGCTTTTGGGTTGGGGGGCTTATTTATTCTTTCTGTGCATACTTATATCTACTCTTGTGTCAATGTCTTCCATATTGCATACGTACAACTTCCATTTGATTACACTGAAAGCTTCCAATATGTGATTTAAACAATGTATCTACTATCGTGCCTAATATAACATATAGATATGTAAATCAGTCATCTAATTTCAATATGCAAAGTAAACACACTTCAGTAAGAAACAGGATTTTTCATCAAAGGAGACTGGAACCTGCAGAAGACTGAATAACTGAGGTATGCACACCTTTTACAACACAGCAGAATGTCTTAGCTGCAGAGGAAAATAAAACACAGCCAATTTCATTCACCACCTTCCCCTTCGGTGCAGGGGGAATAATTTGTTCGGCAGCATTTGAAGAAAGAATGAAAATAATTATCACAGGGCAAACAGAAAGGACCCCTACATGCCCACCATTTCACCTTCTTGAGCTCTTTCATTTCAAAAGGAATTAGGAAAACTTTCAGGTAAGCAGAAATTATACTGATCTTCCCCAAATTCTCTAGACCCCCTGAATAGTTCTTTATTGTGAGTGAGCAAATTCTGCAGAAACAAGCTAATGGGAAATGAAAAAGTTCCAAAGACATTATGAAGCAAGAATAATTGGCCTCTCAGGACACAGTTATTACAGAAATAAAATGTTTTCAGAATCTGTCAGCCAAACCTTTGATTTTAAAACATCAGAGCTCAGCAAAACCCTCATAATTTTGTTATACACAAGAGGGAAAACCATACATGAATAGAAATAAGTGTTTCTTTGCCAGCATTGCAATGGAGTACACTAGTTATTTTTATTTAGAAATCACCAGTCAGAATTATAGTAGCTTTTCCTGCTCAAAGTAGATTTTTTTTTCATGCAAAATGGAGAAACTGGTACAAATACTAGCTATGCTAACTCTGACTAAAAGCTGGACAGTCATAACTAAATAAAAATAAATAAAAAAAACCCAACAAACATACTGCCCCCCCTCCTCCTCACCAAAAACCTCAGAAGGAATAATAAAGATTTTCTGACCTCTGCCCCCCAGGCTCGGAAACCCTTTTCCAGCCTTAAAGCATTCAGAGCATATGTTCCAAAGTCATCAATTCCCTCTTTCTGGCCAGCTTCCATGATTGCACTGTAAAGAGCTACAGAATCTTCTTTTCTGTGATACAGCTCCCAGCCCAATTCACCTGTTATACAAAAAAGATTAATGGTTTCATCAACTCAATAAAATGATCCTAATAAATACACTCCTGTTCTTGGTCAAAAGTGGGGGTCAATGCTGTAAAGTGCTAATTCACACTCTAGGGTCAATTCTCCTATCATATAGCACATCTCATTCCCTGCAAGAACCACCAGAGGATTTGTGCCCTCTGTATTAAGCAGAGGGCTTACTTAAATTAGAATAATTTCTATTATTCTAATTTAAACTGTTAACTGAAAACTGTGGGTAAGGAAAAATCAGAATAACTGATAAGGAAAGGTCATGTAATGAAACTACAATGATAAATTAAGTTTAAGGGCATTAAAACCAGATGATGACTTGGCGAGTGAATAGCAAATGTAACTGAGTGTAAATAAGAATCAGTGCATTGTATCATATTTAGCACAATGGAAAGAGAATATGAATTACAAGGACTTCAGCTGTTTCAGAATGCTCTGAATTCAATCTATTACACTAGAGATGGATGTAAAAAGAAATTAAAAAAAATAACTGAAAAAAACCAAAAATTAATCACTACAGCATTACATTTTCAAAGCACGTGACAAACACTAATATATGGTAATCCAAAACCAATTCTTGACGTTGGGTTTGCAGCAAATACCACAGAGGTTATCAGAACTGGCCTTTTGTTCTGCAAAATAAATATTTACACTATAGGGTATTTCTAGAAAAAAAGGTCTTGGAAAAACTCAGCACAGACCCTGACCATATCACATTTGGAAATCAATGTACTGTAATTCCTCCCACATTTATATGTAAAATATAATGAACCTACTTCTTAAGAATACATGATGAGACTTATTTTTTAATATAATTTTAGTGACATTTATTATTTTATGAATTGTCTTTTTCCTTAAGTGCATGTTTTTTCTATTGCTTACCTGTGTATGATATCCTAATAGCAATAAGAGCAATATTGGAAAGTTTCAGATGTTTACACTGAAGAAATTTAAAGGAACCATGACTCAGATCCTCATTTGTCAACTTCTGGAGGACCTGTCGTGCATACGGACCAGCTACACCAAGTACCCCCATCTCATCTGTCAAGTTTTCTATTTCAACTTTGTATCCACCTGTTGTTACTTTCTCTTCTATCCATCTGCACATAAAACACAACACTGATGTTACACTTCTTATGAAAAATAACTGATTTAGATAAGATTTTAGTAACTTTTTTTAGTGTTCATCTCCCCAGCAGCTCCCAGTGCCACACTGTCTCATAACCAACAAAACTATGTGCTACATTAGATAGTCAAATCCATCATTGATGTTAAACACTGTTTTCTCATGAAACACTGGTACAGCAACACAAGCATCTGAGATATAGCCAGGAAAGAAGAGAATTTAAATGGGTGGAACAGTATATTCAAGACAAGAGAAAGAAATGATCTCATATAATGCCAACAGATTTGGCTTTGGATCCAGAATGTGTTAATAAAAAGTGAACCTACAAAAAGAGTAAGCAATAAACACAATAAACGTAAGAAATCTTCAAATAAATTTCTGTGACAACAGAAATGTACAAGAAGGCGTGTTCCGTTCTGAATGTAGTAGTTAAAGTATTGGCAGGAAGTTCAGTTTGGATTTAATAAAAAACAACAACTGAAAATTGTCTTTCAGGAAGCTCAGAAAATAAATAAAATTAGTATATTTAAAAATCTTATTAAGCACTAGATTGTTCTGCAGTGTTGCCAGATCTCAGGCATAGGGGAGTACCAAACAGGACTTCAGAAGTCTGTAGAATTAAATACATTAGATCTGACTCTGCTGTTTGGTTCCTGAATGTGCCAGTGATCCTACTGATTCCTCTGGGACTGTTATTAAACAGTACTCAAAAGTATTCTTTTGAATTAATGTACTAAATGGTATTCAAAAATACTTTGTATGTTAGGGTAGCAAGTTTCAGTTTTTTAGGCATTGATTAATTTTGATTAACTGGTTTGCCAGCAACCTCCACTAAGAACAGCACTAGAAATGTCAATTTCAATGCTCATCTATGAAAACTAATTTATTAAGTCATCCTGCAACTGCTTCTACTTCCTTTCTTTTTGTTGTTTCAGTTTGTGACCCCAAAGCCCGAGGCAGAAGACATTACCACAATCACGAAGACTACACTACCTATCTCTATGGGCCAGGTCAGTGCCTCTGGGGTTATCCATGTTTAAAGCCAATTTTTTTTTTTTTTTTGCGTAAGAGAACACACTAGAAAGGAACAACTGTGCTATGTTACATCATACAATGCCAAACACAAGGTTCAACAACAAAACAATAACTACCTCCGATAACGTATATTACATAACTGTCAGTAAGTTCTCCATCTTTTTACATCAGCAATAATCCACTAACCAACTGCTTATACTTCAGGATTTAGGTCAACCAAGTTTCTAAGAAACTAAGGTCAATAAAGAGTATAGCTCTCATGAACTTTGTGAAAAGCTTGTTAAGTACTTATTAAGAGTTTGGAACTTAGTAAAAATGTTTCTATATTAATATGACTGTATAGCACTATGTACTTACTGCATAAAAAATGAACTAACCTCAGATCATGGAGTTCTGACCCTGACCCAGTTACGAGCATGAATTCTCCAGGACACAGTTGAGAAACAGTTAGCTCAGCATAAACTTTCCCTCTTGGCGTTAACATATGGCTTATATTTGTGGAACCCATCTACAGAGTAAAATTTGCAATTATTAAGAATGCAATATAAAACCTTTCAATTCTTAAACATCATTAAATATATGGTTATATGTCTTCATCTGAAAAAACAACTTTTTTCATGTTTGCTCTGCTGTGCCATAAGAGGAGTGGAGAGATACACAACTGGCCAAGCTTAAGCTATGCAGTGGAAACTACACATTTTTGTAAAAACAGAAATTTTTAAAATAAGACAAATCAAGACCTTTATAAATACTTGTTAATTATGCATTACATAAAGCATTCTTAAGCTACATTTGTTTTAAGAATGCATTTTAAATGCATTTTAAATTCAGTCAACTTTAGTTTGTTCTCTCATCATTTGAATAAAAAATTCTACCTGTTATTGATATAATTTTTTTTCAATCATGTGAATAAGGCTTTCAGATCCCAAAAGAATAACATATGCTTTGCCCTTTACTTTAAAGAAAGAAATACTGAGTTGGGTTATGCTTTTGTGGCCCTGATTTATGTATGCTTTTACATTATTTGTAGTTGCTGACTATGAATCTGCATCTCTGTACATTTGAATCAGATTCTGTTTAGAAGCTTGATTTCTAGAGGCAAAATTTCAAATAACAGTTACTTAGCTGTGCCCACAAAACACATAATGTTCATACATATATCATGCATATAAATAGAAATATGAATATGCTGTAGCTGTTGTGCTGGTCTGGTTCCAGAGGCAGAATTTAATCTCTCTTATTTCATTCTGCTTTCACAGAAACTTGTCAGCCACCTAGTCAGTGCCTAGATTCCATACAATGAACGGAGAAAGGAAAAATATTGCAGATATTAAGATTCTTTTGCAAGGTCACATTACATTAATATAGTTACTGACATATATCAGGCATTTAGTTGAATTTTCAGGACTTGATGCTACTCACACCCAACCTGGGTGTGATACAAGTATATCTCCAGTAACTCCACTGGATTATTTAATGATGCAGACAAGCATGAAAGGTACCAAAAATCAGCAGCTTAAAAAAAAATAACCAATGTTGTGAATGTTGGATTTTTAAGTCGACTCATAAACTGTACCTTCTGCTTTGCCATCTAGTTTTCTTTTTCCTCTTAGCAGTGCTGATTAAACTTCATAGAAAGCACTTGATTTGTTCTCATAATTTCCTCTTTAATCTTGATTTCCCTCCACCATATAAATATATTCAGCAAGTGTTATCAATGCGCACTGATAACACAGTTACCCTACCTCTACCCCAAATCAGACAGAAGGCAAACTTTCAATCTATATTGTTATCACAAAATGAATACAATAAAAAAGTATGACTACATGGCAATTCAGGTTCTTCTTTCTCCTAAGATACCAATCTCATGCACATTCTTCCCATTCAGTTGACTCTGACCTCTGAGAAGAGCTTATATACCTTCATAGCTATAGTCTCAGTGTACTGTTTGCCTATGTTTCCTCCCTTTGGTGTTTGAAGCACTGAAAACCATCACCTACTGCAAATACTTCATGAAATTCTGCGCTGAAATGACCAAACCCCAAGTCTATAGCACTTCAGAAAGAAGCAATCTGCTTGCTGGAGCTTTATCTTTAAAGTTAAAGACACTTTAACTTTAAAGTTAAAGACACTACCTGAGACTGGTTGACAAAGCAGAAAGACAAAATGGAGCACTACGAAAAATTGAACACCAAGAATAAGAAACCTGCAGTAGTTTGTCACAGTGTGCCTTTTTTTAGCGCAGAAACACACTATGAGGATCTATGAACAGCCACACTTGTGAAGAAAGGACAGGTGTGAGGTAAGAAAGGACAGGTGTGAGGTGAAAGCTGAATCTCCTGCATATTTGCAGCCCTGCCTGCACCAGAGTCAGTATGAGGGGGAGCATTTGAAAAAAAACCTACAACAAAGCTGTTCATTTTGGAATTCAGAAAGAATACAACATCTAGCTATGACCATGCAAGAGCACCTTCCCCTCCTCTGCTCTGTGCCTTAAGCTGCCACAGTACACCACAGTTTTAGGCAGGCAGCTGCCAAGCTATTCTACTGTAAAAAAATTCCAGGTGAGATTCACTTGCATGTTTTAGATAAAGATCTGAAACACAGGAGGCTCTGTCTGAACATAAGGAAACATTCTTTTCCTCTAAAGATGTCTGAGCACAGGAATTAGTTGCCCAGAGAACTGGTGGAGTTGCCATCCTTGGACATACTCAAAAGCCATTTGAATACAGTCCTAGGCAATGAGCTTCAGGTGATCTGCTTTAACAGGGGGTTGGACAAGTTGACATCCAGAGGTCCCTTCCAACCCCAACCACTCTGATTCAATGATCAGTGCCAAAATGTACTTCTGCTTGGGGCTGCTCTAGTATAAACTTCCCTGTTCGTGCTCTTAAACGAATGCAACACATCTGACACAAACTCCTCCAAAGGATCTGCGTATTTGGTATCTGAAAGATACGGCAACGATATTATGTTTCATTTTCCATGTCTGAAACAGAGCTTGTCTGTCTAAATCCTGCATTACAACAGTTATCACTGTCCCACTTACCTTTGGAACAGCATTTGCAAATAGATGATCCAGCAGCCTAACAGAATCTGTGCCTTTTACTCTAAATTTGCCAAATGGTGACAGGTCAATCACACCAACTTTTTCCATAACCTGTTTGTGCTCACGACCCACAGGGTCAAACCAATTTGTGCGCCGAAAGCTGGGTCTGAAACAGAGCAGTTAGACACATTAAATACAATCTTAAAATTTTGTGCTCTTTTCAGCAAAATGTAGTCTTCAGTTTCTTCAGTTTAATAATCATCCAAAAGAGACAGACTTTCCTAATTGTAGACAGCTTACCCAATATTTTCTTTAGTCTAACATAGCTTAATAATTAAAATCCTTTAACATTTATTTAAGTTTAAGGTATCAAAGGCTTTATTTCTGAACAGCCAAGTGTGTCTCTTTATTCCTTTATGAGCCTCATTTAGATTGGGACTCCAGTATCCCTGTGGAAAATATTTCTTTGCTGGAAGCTCCCTGATGCAGGCAGGTAACTAGGTGGGCAATCACAGAGGAGTAAAAAAAAAAAAAAAAAAGAAAAGAAAAGAAGATCAGGCTTCTCTGTTCCAGACAACTAGAGAGAAATGAGCTTTTTCATGAAAACATTATACTATGCCGCTGATCAAATAATGAGAAATGGACAAAAATACGCTTTTATAATGAACAAGTTGTTTTCCAAGCTCCAGCTTGAGCTAGGTTGCTCACTGCTGTGCCAAACCCAGAACAGTTACAGGATACCTCGATGCATGTTTTGAAATGTCTGCATTATCAGCATAAAATGTACTCTAAACTATGGAAAAAGCAAGAATAGAAGATCTATCTAATATATAGATCTGTAGCTGAAATGAATGATAAATGTATGCTTCTCATTAAATTTAACTAGACTGGCTTTTGCTATCATGACAAAAAAAATAATCTTTCATTTACTTGTATCCAGTCTCATCTCCAGGTTTGTAGAACCAATGAGGTTGCTCCCATCCTGCATGAAAGCCCATTGAACATCTTGACTTTAGCAAATGATACAGCCCACTGGTTCTCTCTGTTGGTCTCCCAGCAAATCTTTCTTCTTTAGGGTAACCAACTAGAGGGGAAAAGAAAAAGACAAACAGAAAAACCTCAAAAGCCACGGCATGCTAAGATCATCAGCAGCACAGAAAACATGTATATAAACAGAGAAATCTAGAGGCAGGCTTTGTTGGAATCCATCTTCAGGACATAAATGTATTTAATATCTTCTTACCAATGTTATTAAAACCGTAAGATTCTCTTGCTTTGGCTGCTGTGTATTCTGTGGTGGTCCACTTTCCGTAGCGGTTCGGATCTAATTCTATCAGGTCAAATGGAGGTTCCCCCTCAAGGATCCAGTCACTGAGGTACTTTCCTATGCCACCAGCATGTATAATGCCATACCTTGAAAACAGGAAAAAGTCCTGCCGTGCCAAGTCTTTCATGTTTTGTTTCTTAAAATCAGTACTAAAATATACTACTAACACATACTGCAAACACAGACTCTAAATTATTTTACATTTTTCCCTCTTTTTTTTCATTTGTTCTGTTTTGTCTTGTTTTCCAAGATTACGTACTTATATTAACAGATATTTCTACTGCTCCATTGTCAGCAGCAGAATGTCCTCACTAATGTACAGCAGCTGCAGTGTGTGAGATTAAGCAAAAGCTCTTTCTTTAAAATTCATAATCATTTCCAGGGAATTAACACTCTTAAACAATTAATACTAAATAAAGTTTTCAAACTTCTGATGTCCATTAAATACACTTCCTAGTCATAGAATACCTCTTCTGTTTCAATCAGGTTTGACTAAACCAGATTCAGATTTAAAATCCATACTGAGACATTCTAGCAGCTCCAATGAGTATTTACATTCCAGTGACAAGAGCAACAGCAGCAAACAACACTACAGAGATTGCTTTAAGGAATTTGAAATTCCAACAGTACTTTTTAAATTGCTCCACAGGAAATCAGGGAACGTAGAGAAACTGGGGACAAAAATAGAAGACTTGTTTGCAATGGTGCCAGAGGTTGAGAACCACATTTTCTCACCTGATTTGCCTTCTCTCTTCTTAATAACAACTACAAAGAGAACTGGTTCCAGAAAGCTTATGCTAATAAAATAAACACGTAGAAATTTCTGCTAACAATCTGTAGCAAAAGCCTGTCCAGTTTCTACATTAGTGTGTGAAGAATCAGACTGTACAGAAAATATCTTGTCAGACACCTACATTAAAGGAACCACCCTAGACAGCAAAGGTAGATGTTTAAAAGTTATAAAGTGATAGATTTTATGTTTCTGTACTTAAACATTTTGTACACAATTCTAACTATCAGAATGCTTGATATCTGGACATCCATAGGGAAAAACGTGTGAAACTTGCTCCTGCAAGGTTACAGAAAACTGGGGACACAAACTTTGTTGTGCTGCAATATGTGCATGTTGCTACTCAGTCTGTGTATGATCAAACAGTACCTCTGATTTGACACTGAAATGTTTAATGACAAATAATCATTAATACCAAATGATTTAAAACTTTTTGGAATACCTCTGTTGAATTAGTTTGCCATATCTGAAAAAAATTGTCAAAATATCTTTCTGCCTAGGCAAGATGTGAAAATAAATTCTTAGTTAGTTGTGAAATGTTCCCATGAACACAACTGAAAAATCCTTGGAAAAAAAGTAAGTCTGTTCAAAACCAAGTTTAGATTAACACGCAGCAATTAAATCATAGACACTCACACAGAATAGAGAAGCTAAAACAAACTTCAGTTGCTGCTCATCAACTTTGCATTCTGAAGTCTATCCCCTCCATTAAAGTAGGTAAGGATCTTATAAAAAAACCCGAGGAAATCATTTCATTCTAATGCATATGCATAAGAAGAGTGAATCCATAATATCAGTAACATTACTTTGATATAGTGGAGTCTTAATAAATAAAAGAGAAATAACAAACTGAGTACATGAGGTAATTCTGCCAAACACACCCTGTGAGGCAGTTCAGCAAAAATCTTCAGACTCAGCACAAGCTTCTATCACCACAGCTGATGCAGTAAGGATGACTGCTTGTAAACTGCCACTTTGCAAGTGTTTCTGGTGTTAATGCAATTAAACAACTCTTAATTATTCATGGGTATAAGCTTTATGAGCATGGCTATGATGCCTTCGAGTACAGCTCCAGTCTTAGCCAGTTTAAGCCTCCCTGCACCATTCACTGCACCCAAAAGCAGAGGGGAACAACAGCAAAGAAACCACTGCACGATTGTGAGTGCTGACAGATCAAACACAATGAAGGTTTTTAGCTTCAGATGAAGACTGCTGAGCTGATGGCAGGGTAACCCCAGGAGCAAGATAGCACAGGGGAGACTGCCCTGCTACTACAGGTACAGCCCTGCACCTGGGCTGAGTGCTCTCTGTACTCTGCAGAGCTTTGCAGCACTGACTCTGCGCAACCCAATGATTTTGGTTTGATTTTACATTGCACAGGATGCCCAAATCCCTTGTTACCTCAGATAATAGGGAGCTGATTGTATTAATACATCCACTGCAATTGTTCTGCACAAAAATGAAATGTGTTGTTCAGGGGTAGGACATTACAAGTAGCTGTGAAGAGTGGTACAGTGTAGTAATCTCAGTCTTCATATGATTTAGAGCAAATTTCCTTAATGAACACAAATTGTCCTTCTCTGGTTTTTCTTCTCTCCTTCCAATCCCTGACAGATTATCTCCCCATTGTTCCTGTCACATTCTTGTGTCTTACTTATGAGTTCCTTGCTTCTCATCCATTTCCAACTCCTTCCATTCCTTTTCCTAGGAAATCTGAGTCTGCACACCATGGTCCCCTTTATAATGGCTTTGTCCCAGGTTATGGAATGGTTACACTGCTTTGAATTAAACTTTTCTGATTAAAATCCTAGCCTAATCTTGTTAACATTTTCAAAGCTGTAAGTAAATAAAAATGGGAAGCATTGAGCAACCTTAATAATAAATAGTGCTACACAATCTGCTAACTATACTTCTTTGCATGTTAAAATGCCTAGCAAGCTGCTAATTTTAGATAATAAAAATCCTCTAATCTAACAGCACTAAGTCCTCTGTCACAATGTCCCTGCTAGTTGACTGTGAGATAAGGATTTGCTAATGCACACAAAAAGTTACAACACTGATAGAAACACTGCAGTGACCCAGAAGCACAGAACAGAGAGTCAAAAGTCCCTGAAAAGCAGACAAAGCAATCCAATGATAGCCACGTAATTGTGAGCTGTGTACTAAACATTTAGAGATTAATCAAACTCCTGAAATAAGCTGTTTAAAGAAATTTAACCATGTAACACTAGTCTTCAGTTTTTCATATAAAGAACTTTGATTCTGCTTCCATTAACACCAGTGAATTAAAACATGCTCCAAAGTCTGGCCACAGAGTAATGAACTTAAACAGCCTTTTTGGTGAACAAGGTCTAGGCAAACGGCTTTTGTAACTGTAAGTTCTGCAAATGTTACTGAGAGATAACATTATTTTTTTTTAAATCCAAGCAGCAAAGGTGAATACCTTTCACAATGAATCATTGCAAAATTACCAAGCCTTTTTATTTTGAGGGCCTCAGAAAGCATGTTAGTGATACTGCCTTATCTTAGAATCTGAGGGTTTGTTTGCTTTGGAATGAAAGAAAACTGGAAAAAGCTGAGCTGGATTTTGAACAGCAAATTAGGCAATTGGAAAAACAATGTAAACAGAATGTATTCAATAACATGCACCTGGAATTGTAATTGGTTCATTCTATCCATCTTGACTCAATGGTCAAACTAAGACAATTAAAGAGATGTCAGTGAGTGTGTTACCACTGACTCCAGTGCAGCCATAATAAAGAAGATGTAAATCGTGTTCAAGGAAAATGTCATAATGGGTGGGAGAATGACACCAATAAACCACTTGTATCTATTTTTGTGCTGTCCTCTTCGTTTGCTTTCTTCCAATACCCAGCAATGTAATTTTTCAGCTCAACTTTCACAGTCAAAAACATGACTGGGTTTGTATCCCTTGAGCAGTCAGTCACACAGCATGCTGGTCTTCTGGTTAGTATACCTTCAGTTCTTTACCCAAAAATTAATATTTCACATTAAAAGTGTCACAGATATTTGCCTCCAGATTAAAAGGAGGAAACAAATTAAAAAAATAGTTAGAGTTATGAAGAAGAAGTGAGAGAGAAGGATGAGCATACATTATAGAGATTGTGGTAATTAAGACTATTTCAAATTACATTTTAAGCAAAATATGTGCAAAACAATGGCCAAATCAATAAAAATGTACAAAGGTTGAGTTGACTGCCATTTTTACAATCTGACAGACAAACAAAAGTTGTTGGAAAGAACTTACTCACCCGAAACCAATAGCCACCCAGTAATTTCTGACACTCTGATGTGGTCCCACCATAGGAAGAATGTCTGGAGAATAGGTGATAGGACCTGCAATTGTGTTTACGATGTCTGCTTTTCTCAAAACGGGGACCATTTCCATAGCAGCCTCAATATGCTCCATTATTCTGTCTAAATCAGACTCAAAAAGTTCTTTTCCAAAACCTGCACAAATATTTGACTCTTATTATATACTCACACTAAAAACACATACATTTTAAATACAGCTATGCAATCTCTCTATATGAGAGTTACATGGAATTAAACAGTGTGTATGTTCAAGCCTTTGCCACCCTACACAAGAAACATAGTGTGCAAAAATCCCTAGTTACCTACAGGATCGAGTTTATTTGTCACTGCAATTATAGTATCCTTTATACATATTTGTTTAACCCTAAGGTCATGCAAATTCAACAATTTAGTAAAAAGGAAGTGAAGGAACACAGAAACTTTCTTCTACATTAATAACACCCAATTATTTTTCTCAATATGCCAATAATTTGAGAAGAGGAAGAAACATACTTCCTGTATATGCTTATCATTTCCATTAAATCATGTGAATTATTTCACTCCTCAGTCAGGGCTCTAAGCATTGCTGACCATCATTCTGTAGAGGCACTTGATGCTACTGGAGGCAATAGGTTCAGGAAGCTGTGACAGGGCTATCTAAAACTGAACAATGTTGATTGCTCTTTCTTAGGAAACATGCATTTTTTTAAAACAGCAATACTATTGACTTAGTATAACTTTTTGTCTGGAAGTGAAGGGAAAGCTGGAGTCTAGATATAACACAGCAACTTAAAATTTTTTTTTTTAGTAAGCAGCTGTATGACATAGGATATTTTTGTATTCTATACAAATCTACAGCTCTCTTGGACTTATTTCCAAGCACAGCATTTTGTCTAAGACATGCCTTTGCTGTTCCTATTTGACAATCACATTGTCCTGCAGGAACAGCAAAAATCCAGAGCCCCTGTCAGTATGCTGGAGAGAACTGTAACTTAGAAAAAGTTATTCATTCAAAAAAGGCTACATAATGCAGATTTGGTGACTGCATCTAATCACAAAGCACAGCCACCTCTTCAGAAAGTAGGCTAATATTATGTTGTAGATGTGTATGTTGTGCCTATTTCAAGTAGGTTTTTCTTATGTTACATTTGTATTTCTATTCTTTCATTATTAGAGTTACAATTATTCTTTGAAAAAAGTTTCTGCAGTACAATCATGCATTGCAGATATTTTGTATTTTCCATCACCATAACAGCCTGGGATTTACACACATTGAAATGTGTGCTAGTGCTCATCAAGTTTAAAGATTTAATGTTCTTAATTACCTGGTGGGACTCCATTTGTTACCCATGAGTCCTGCAGCTTCATTTTCTCCTTGCTTTCATATGGACCAAATAAAAGACCATCCCTTTCTTGCCTTAGATAATATGATCCTTCTAAGTCACGAATCACAGGCAATTCTGTTTTTAGGGCTTTCACTTCAGGGATAGTTGATGTCACAACGTACTGATGATGAACAGGTATGAGAGGGTGCGGCAGGTCAATCATCTTGCCTATATCACGTGCCCAGAAGCCTAGAGAAGAAAAAAAAATCAAACCCAACATTCGAACATTAATTTAAGTGAATAGACAGTAAAATATTTGCAGGAAACACTGTGCTTTTATATGTGACATTTTTTTCCCCATACTTGTAATTTTCACATTATTTTTCATATTATCCAGCATATTTTCCCTCCATAATTCCATGTCCTTTTTCCTAATTATACTATATATTATTATAGCACACACATATTAAAAAAATATAATTGGTAAATTATAAATCAGGCTTAAATTAACAGTTGCACAAACCCCTTGGTTTATTTCAGTAAAGTAGGCCTCCAGTATACTCCTAGCAAAGTCAGAGACACTTAAAAACCAGAATACATTAGCTTACACCATAGGTGTTAATCTAGCCTCTTACAATCAACCAAAGGAGTTAGTATGCTTTCCCAAGACAGCAGTCAAGTCCTAACACCCCAAGAGAGCAAGGAAGTACTTTCAGACAGCTAACCTCAAGAATTGGAGTTTCTCTCCTCTTTCACACGCATCATGTGATTCATGTTAATTATCTCTCTCACACAGCAATCAATTCATTATATATAATGTTCATATCAGAAGTTCTGATACAGATTGTGACTAGCAAATGCAAGCAACAATTTCCCTGCCTCTGAAACTGGCTCAAGATCCTTCACATGTACCATGAGGCATAAGTTAAAGAAGACCTAATTCTTCTTTGTTAAGGTTAAGCTGGTAAGACACATTCACTTAGTGAGATATTTGTGGCAAAGTCAAGGAGTGGAAACCACTTAACTACCAAACCCATTAATTTTGGCTCTGCATCATGGCTTACATCTGCTGTGAGGCTGGAACATAACAGTATTGGGAATTGGACAGATACACCTGACTGGAATGGCGGCTGCTCTAAGAAGCTTTGAATATCCCTCAGCCCCACTCTCCTGACTCTTTAGGGAGCAGAGGTCTCAGGAATGAAGGGGGGAAATTGGATGAAACAGGAGCTTCGGGGGAGTCTGGGAGGGAGTGCTGGGAAGGGCAAAATGAAAGAGGAAAGAAAGGTAGCAGGGCCTTCCAAATAAAAGGTTACGTGCCATATGGCACCCAGAAAACAATGGTAGGTCAGCCTAGTTCTTGTGCAACCAGCTGACTCCAAACTGTTTATGACAAACTATCCCTAGCAAGATTTGCTACCTAACACAGCTACCCCTTCTCCTGGGACATACACTTCATGTTGTCCAGCTTAACATGCAACTTTTCTTCCTTTTTGCTGATTACTTGTCTTAACTAAACATTCTTACCTCTCTCTTCAATTCCAAGACTTCCATTCCACACCCCCCAAGATCTGGTCAAAGTTTCTCAGGAACCTGAAGGCAGCAAAAGGCACAAATGATCCTGAACAGCCTCACCTGGGACTTCCACCCACACTCCTGCCTATGGACACAGGTCAGCTGTGCTATTCCAGGTCACCTCAGGTCCTTCAGAACCTGTCTGAGCTGCTTTGATTGTAGGTGTGTGCAGCTCTGTCACAACCATGCCTGTGCCTGACCATGGAAAACATTGATCCAGACCCTGATCCGTGGACTACTTCTCAGCTTGACCTCAGCTCAGTCTCATCTCCACAATCCTGCCTGTTGATTACTGGGCACTATTCAACCCTGGTTTCTGTCACCAGGCCTGTTCCTGACCTGTGGTCACATTCTTGGCTTGGCCTCCGCCTGGCTTCATCACCATGGATCTGACTGTGTTTCATCTCCACAAGCTTGTCAGGAGATCTGGACTGTGGGCTGAACCCAGCTGTGGGTCCTGGGCCTTCCCTGCTCCCTTCCCTGTGCCCTATTGGACAGAACCCTTACTGGCTCAGCCAGCCTTGTAACCATGCTTGGCTCCCTGTTCCATCAGGAGCAGCTGGCTCACGCCGCTTGCTGACATTAACTTCAAAATACATCCTCTCACCTCTGGCTGGCATAGCTTAAAGCCAGGGCAATTTGGAAAGCTGGATTGGGCTATGGTGGCCTTGTGCTATTCCCCCATGCCAAAAGGGCTGTCAGTCTCTTATTTAATATTACAAACCAGCCTCAGTGTCTAACACCCATGGTTTTTACAAATGCAACATTTCCAACAAAAACGTTTTCTGTGGTGACTCACTCCACAATTGCTGATAGCCACCTGAAGCAAGGGAGCAGGAAATTCAGCATCACCATCAAGAGATCTGTTCAGTTAAAAGCCCCTGTCCAGTCAATACTGTCCAGTCAATACTAGAAACCAGCACCTGTTGCTCTGCCATTATCATATGTAAGGCTTTTGTTTCTTAATGGCACCCTTACCACTCGGAGGAGACTCTCTGCCAGAACACTTGTTAGGTCAGTTAAATTGGCTCAGGGATGATCCTGCCGTAGTTGTATACAGTGAATGATCCAAAACATTCTTTAAGACTACTGAAACATGACTTATGTTCCCTAGTACAGAAAATGATGAAAATATTCTAATAAAACTGCATTTCTAGCACAACTGTAAGGGTTTACTTCACTACACATGACACACACAAATGTGGATTTAAGTGGAAGCTAAAAATCTTTAGGGAATGTCTTTTGATTTGGGCAGTTTCCTATTACCTAAAAATAAAACTATTAGGTAATGTCAGCTAATAATCCACAGAGGAGAACAAAAGGTGAAGTAGCAGAAAATTAGGTCTTTGAAACCTAGCTTTGTTTCTTTCAGAAAAATAGAAATTTTCTTAGCCATGAAGTTTGCAGAATAACATTACAAACACAGCTGATTTTAAAATGCTTTTGAGTAAGAGGTTTGCTTAAAATAAAATCTTCAGTATTGTCTTCTAAAAAAAGTCACTTACAGTAAGTGTGTATTTAATTGCTTAGAATAACAAGTGATATTTACTAATTGAAAAATATTACAGTTTCTTTAAGGTTTTTGAACCATATGCAAATGTATTACAAAACCGAAAATGGAAAAAGGAAGAACATATTCTCTGAAGCAGAATTCTAATTGGAAGCATATGTCAAGTCCTATTACATATGGTAGAGATAAATGAATTATGTCTCTAGGACATTCATGAATATTAAATTGTAAAGACTGCAAACACCTGATCCTGAAATATTTAGTGGTTATATTCCTTAGCATATCTGCTGAAGTATGTAACCTGACTATCTCGTTTTTGAAAATCTCCCACCACTACTTATATATAAATGATTGTATACAGTGTGTAGATGTCTGAAAGTATGCTTATATACACACACCCACACCGTATATATAAACTAAATTCACTATTTTTGCAGACTAATCAAACATTACATTATAAATAGGCTGCAAATCACTTCAGCAGGCTCAGTACCAGTTAGTTCATGTCAGGGATTATTTATTAGGCATCTACTTTCCTTCAAAATGGGAATCTCACATAAGGAACAGCTTAAGATTGGTTGAAACTAGTTTGTTCCAGTTCCTCAGCAGATGTCAGTTGTGGGGTGAGGCGGGGGAAGAGAGAATGTAAAGAGCCTTCTGATGTATTTTTTTTGCAACATGAGCCTAAAATATGAGCTCTGAATTATACCAGTCATGATCTGTAGTGGAATGAGGCAAGGCTGAGAAAGAGAATGAATGTTATCTGAGAAAACATTTGTAAGAGATATGTGTTATACAGTATTGATTTTACATCATTAGCCAGAGTGTTAAGCAATATGTGCTTCAAATATTCATTTTGGCTGAACAGTTAACTACACAGGAGAAATAAGTAAATATATTGTTGATTTAATAAATTATTAAATAAAAAAATACTTATGAACAGTTCAGAAGGGTGCATTCTAATTTTTGCAAGTGAACTTTGAAAAGCATTTACCAAAAAACTCTGCCTAAAGTCAACTTGATACATAAGCCAAAGAAAGATAACTACACTATGAAATTGTAAGAAAATTACTACATCTGTGATATTTCATCCATCCATGCAGAGCCAATAGTTAGGAATAATGAGTGCCTAGAAGTCTGTAGCCTAAATAAGTCTGATTGCCAAAAGAGCTGCCTTTCCATTTCATTATCTTGGATCACTCCCAGAGCAGTACATCCACACTGTGTAACAAATGACATACGGATCCCATTTGTAAGAGAGCTTGTGATTTAGTAACTGAATGCTGTCCCACAATTCATGCCTTAAAGCCATGAACTGACAGTCCAAAGGCAATCAAATATTGACACCTCTCATTTCCAAGTGTTTGACTCTGCAATCTACATAAAATTCTTTTAATTTGCCTTCCCTGTTTGTGTGGTTGTTTGCTTTCTAAAAAGCATATTAGATTCCAGTAGTCCTCTTTTTCTCCCAAATGTGGCATTCATGAGCAAGCTTAAAGCCTCAAGGCGAACTTTTTCAGATCCTTGCTATTTAAGCTAGGCATATAGCAATAGCAGGTGACCACCTACGTATGAAAGGCATATGATGAGAAAGTGCACCTTTCAATGGGTTTTCCAGTTAGTCTTTATTGAAAGCCTGGAATGATCTAACGCAGAGCTGTCTACAGCCCAGACACTGAGAGAAAGGTCACCCAGTAAAGCTCATGCCCTGCGAGTTCAGTCATTTTATCCCACTCTCTCCAAATTTCTCTCTATCCCAATCTTCTCTCTTCACCATCCCTGCTTGGGTCATACCTGCTCTTCTTTTCTGCTGTCACAAAGTCCATTCTTCTAACTCCAGTCCTTACAACCTTCTTCAGCTATTTTGCAGCTGTGTGCAAGTCAGTCTCCCCCATTTGTCAAATTTTGTCCCAGCTGCCTTCTCTGCCTTCCAATCTACTCTCATCTATCTCTCCCTTACTACTCCACTAGTCTTTTTTGCTTAGCTCAGGCAGCCTCAGTTTTCCACTCAGTTTCACACACAACCATTCCTTGAGGATACTTCCTAATCATTTGCCTGAAAACCTCCAAGATCCTGTTTCTTTACTGAAACATATCAGGTATACCTTCCCACTCTCTCCCTGGTGTCATCCCCACTGTCGCCATTCCCTCTTGGTTTGAGCTTCCTTAATTCATTAAGTCTTCCAGCATGTAACTGTTCCACTTGCTCCCAGTGCACCCAGACACCTCCAGGAATCTTTCCCAAACATTTTGCTCTCCCAGTCTATTCCCCTTCCAGTCCAATTCAGTCATAATTCCAATTGTCAATGATGGTTATTCTACCCACCAACAAGAAGAGTCTCTGTCTCACTTCTTCATTTTATCTTCTTTTTACTAGAAATAGATGCTTTTTGTTGTTGTTGTTCCACTGCACATATACAGAAAGGAATTATAAAGACAGATTCTTGCTCTCAGTTCACTTGTCCCGCTTGAGACATCACAGCTTCCTGCTGACGCCTGATTATTCACTGTGATGGGATGTATGAAAGACTAATGCCCCAAAAATGCAGGTATGATTCAGTTTGAGACAGACAGAGTCAGCAAAAATTTAATCTATATGTTAATATTCAACATGTTTTCAAACAATAGAAACCAGAACATCTTCTACTAGGAAGCAGAAGGTATGCTTCATATAGGATGTGCCAACAGTTGGACCAATATTATATTTTTCTATACTTGTATAAGGCAGCATAAAAATAAGTGAAATTTAAATTGAATACAGGTTTTTAGACCTATTAACTTGCTTAGGAAAACAAACACAAATCCAAAGGACTCTTGCCCAAAAGCTCTTTGAAGAAGAAACATCAGTCTGGCTTCTTTAAACATCAGTTTGGCTGCTTTAAAGAAGAATAAAAATTGCATATGTAAATACAAGCTCCTTTGAGTCAGGCAATTTTATGATATGCAAAAAAGTGCATTATTAAGTACATGTTTAAATACTACTCAAAGGACAACAAAAAAATCTTTTGTCTCAAGGATATGTGGATAGAGTTAAACCTTAGAGAAAGCTAATACTGAAATAATCAGGGTCAAATCGTCAGTCTCTTTGAAAAAACAGTGAAGACATTTCTATTTCATTTGTACATTCCATCTCCCATTAGATCTTAGCAAAAATATTGCATAGATTAGATAGTAGTTTGAGCACCCAGAGGGTGGTTGGGCAGTGGAACAGGCTCCCCAGGGCAGTTGTCAGCACTAAGCCTGACAGAGTTCAAGAAGCATTTAGACAACACTCTCAGACACATGGTGTGACTCTTGGTGTGTTCTGTGCAGGGCCAGGAGTTGGACTCGATGATCATTGTGGGTCCCTTCCAACTCAGCATATTCTATGATTCTAGACAGTAGCCTCTCTTCTACACAATTTATTATAAACCAGTAAAGGTCTCTTTTGCTACTATATATTTTTAATGCCTATTCAAGGGCAATTAACATAAGAGCTAAATTTTCATCACAGTGTAAAGTAATACATGCAAAGTACATTTTATCACAAACCAAGTGAACATTCAAAAACATATACTGCTTATAAGTGTAATCCATGCAATTCAATACAGGTGCTTGGTGTCAGCTAGTTTGTAAATTTGAAGAGTACACAAATGCTTATATTAAATCTTACCTGCAGTATTCACAATTCTCTTTGCTTGAATTATTCCAAGTGGAGTTTCAACTTCCCATGTCCCATCTGATCGGGAGTTAAGATCAGTCACTTGGACGGGATAATTTAACTGGGCACCATATTTTCTGGCTCCTGCAGCCAAAGCCATAGTGAGAGAATACGGATCGATATGACCATCTCCAGGGTTATACAGGCCAGCTAAAACCTAAGTGGAGGTAAAATTCTCCAAATGAAATAAATTAAAATTTATCAAAATTAGCTAATTTTAAGAAAAAGCACTTTCTTTCTTGAATATAGTAAACCTTAAGAAGTCAAATCAAAATAAATTTTCAAAACATTGGCCTACATAGAACTATCCAACTTAACAATTGTCTAAAGGAGTAAAATTGCTCAGGTCTCCCGTGCAATCAAAGGTTGCAATGCTTTAATGTTATAATATTATATACATAGTGATTAACAGTATGCACACTGAGATACATTATGGACTAAAATGCACATGAGTCTGATTTTAGGCTATAATACCTCTTTTTTTCATTGAAAAACAAGAATTTCTCGTACACTTTGTATAAAGAAAGTAGACTGTATATATATATTATATCTGACAGACCAATATTTAATTGCAATGGAAATTATATTTCATAAAACCAATCTTTACCTTATCCATGTTCAATAAGGGACATAGCTCTTGTACTTTCTCAGGCGTGATTAGGTACTGCTCTGTTGGGTGCCAACCAGCACGAGCCATTTGGTATTTGAATTCATCCACCCTAGTAGGGGTTGAAGCAATTCTGATACTGCCAGGCTGATGAAATCCCACAGACTAAACCAAAGAGAAATAGTGAATTACTGAAAGAACCTTTACTGATTGCCATATATGCATGTTTCTATGCTATGGGAAGTCTAACAGGAATTTTGCCACTAACATCACCGAAAGAAAATTCAAGTAAGTTAGGGGTTCCTGAAGGAACAGGGCCTAAATATAAACTCCTAGAGAAAATAATTTTTCAAGAAGTTATCAAATTAATTTCCTAGGTTAATGCATACTATCTTCAAAACAGTTGCAAGAAGCATTTATTGAATGTCATGATACTTTTATTTTTATTAAGATTTGTTTAATACTTGATGTATGCACTTGCACACTTTCAAAAATAGAATCAGGTATGTCTCAAAAATAAGTATACATAACAGCTTATATTAAAGTTTATCATCCACATAATTTTCTATTGAAATGCTGCAGAATATATTTAACTAACTAAGCACCTTTATTGACACAATAAATAACCACTCGCCTTTTCTGTCTTCTTAATAAAGTAAACATCCTTACAGAGTTAGACACTGACTGCTTACCTTCTGGTACACACTATTTTTTTCACTTTTTCTATGTTACCTCACAGGACAATAATAGGGCTGAATTAAGTTTTTTACTGAAACTCACAATGATAATCTGCTGTGGTATCTTATCTAGTTGAGTAGTAGAAAGAAGAAAAAAGCATTTTATGACAAATAGAAAAAATACGTGTCATATTAAATACGACAAATGTAAAAAAAACCTCTATAAAATTTGTAGACTAGTACAGCGAGGATCGTGCAATTTCTGCTGCAGTCTGAAGCAAGCATGAGTTTAGTAAATGAAATCTATATGGCTGAGTGATGCCAGATAAAAAGGATGACACCTATGTTTCCCTGCCTATCCATTCCTTAAGTCATTAAATAAAAACACATCTCTGAAAGGAACAGGAAGAATTGCAGCAATTTTCTCAAGTACAGACAGCATCATATCATATGAATTTTTAAGTGGACATGTTTAAGGAAGGAATGTATCATAATCAATCCATTCATTCCAGATCTCTGACGCTATTTGAGCTCCTCTATCAAGCTAAAGTTGCAGACTCTCAGTCTGCTGGGCTCATGAGATGTTTTATGAACATCATTTTCTCAAACTCTAGAGGGATCTGGGAAACCATCTGAAATACGTAGAGACTAAGCATGCAGAAGAGTTTGTTTCATTAAAAAGGGACACAATCCCACTCCACACCCTTATCAACTACAAACTTTTTTGTAAGACTATTACTGCAGCTAGTATTGCTCTGAATTAATACTTTAAAGGTTAAGGTGAATACCTGCCCAGTCTCTTCTTCCAGTTTCTCATAGAGCTTGATGCTGTAAGCATGGATTTTCTTCAGGTTTATTCCAGGATGAAAATAAGTAGTTAAGCCAGCCTCAAATAAGAAATAGGAAAAATAACACCATAAATTAGAAATGCAATGTTTTCTTTCCATCCTTCCAACTGTCAAGATACCATAAAGAAAAACAACACATGGATACAGCCAACTGCTACAAAAATAAAAATAAAATCCTTTTCCTACTTAAGGCATTTTTGTTTTCTGCACAGGTGTCTTTCCATTTGTCCTTTCTCAGCAAATGTGTCAACCCATGATAGTTTTGCAGTTGTTCTCTCCTATGGTTTCCTTTCTTCCATTATTCAGCTGACTGCTTCATATCTTTTGGAAGGCACACACAACTTCATTTCTGACAACTAAGTCAAATTATTAACTCTAAATGTCCTGTAGTAAGGTCTTTTCTCTCTGTAAATGGAGATGGGAGAGAAACCAAACCTTCAGGAAGATTATATCTTCACATGAATTCTTACATTCCTGGAGCGTGAACAGCAGGGCAGTGGAAGCTGATATTCTTCTATTCTCCAGAGTTGTCTTATGTGGCAGCTAAAGAGCAATTGCTGCATTCCAGAAGTAGTTTAAAGAATTATCGTATACATTCTGTACATCACTTTACCAGGTTTGACTTCAGAAAGCTGTCAAGCTCTTTTCAGTTTATGCAAAGATAAAACCAAGAAGTTACTACAGCCTCTTTTATATTTAAGGAAACTATTCACCTGCCTACAATGGAGATGGCTGCATCAACCTAATGACATTCATAACTGCAGTCATTTAGCACTTAAAAAAGCAGAATATATTGTTACGGAAGTTAAGCATATGTCCTGAATTTGTCAACTCACTAACACCCTTCTTCAAGTGAGACAGCATAAATGTAAAATTAAGTTAGGTTTCCAAGATAACTACACTGATTTAAATATTTTACATACATAGTGCATTTTTTGCTAAAACAGAGCTTATTCAAAGATTAAGGTTGCTTCCATTAAGGGAGCTAGATGCTGGAATCCATCTTCAGCTTTAAGGATCCTTTGAGAAAAATGATAGCAGTCAAAAGTAAAAAGTAGAACATATAGTATAGTTTTGATACTTTCCTTCTAACTTGCCCAGTTTGCATAAACATTAAATAGTCTTGATTTTAACTTGTCAACTCCGTTCAGTGCTACGTATTTTGAGGCTTTAACTTTTAAAGCTAGTGGAATATCTGTAAACATATGAATAACAAAAGCAAGATTTAGTTATCTTAAAAGATATAATAATGCTAAGAAGCTATTAAATGTTACAATTCTCTATAATTAAAATATCATATATTAGATCACACAACCTCATTTTTTTAAACAATGGCCTCTTCTGTCCTATCTTTCTTGGTGCAGTTTCACATTTAAGACAGGATCTTTTTCTTCTGAAAGTTAGTTTCAAATTGTTCTTAGCAAATAGCTTACACCCAGATACCATTTCCATCAAAAAGCATAGCTCATACTCACTGACATGACAGGTACTCATTATCTTCAGAGAAGGAAGGTCATTACTGTCTGGCATTACTGATTGTATGTCTTGATGCCATCCACAATCTTGAAAGCTTTTCTTACCCTTATTTGCGAGAATTTTATCTTTCTGATATCTTAGTTTATATAAGATATCATAGTATACCACATGACTGAAATGCCAAAATAATCCAGTGGAAAAGTGTGTAAAATAAATAATTTGCCAGAATTAATTTTTCAGTTGTGTCTGTATTTTATTCATGAATTTGACTCTGTTTGGTATTGTTCACTACCTCAACAGTCTGCATTTATAAAGTGATCACACAAACATGCAGGAGTGAGATAAATCTATTAATGCTCCCACTAAGGACAAAGAAGGTGGGCTGGATTCTGAAAGTCCCTAGGCTAAAGTAATAGTCGGGAAAAAAACCTGCTTGCCCTTTTCTTATTATCATATTGGATCATTAGCATAATACTGGACACAGGTTGAAGACTAGGTATTTGACTAATTGTGGTTTTTATCTCATTTGATACATGTGCTCATATATGGTTGTGAACACATTTATTTTAATTACCTTAGACTAAACCCCAGGGCTCTTTTACTGTAGAATTTGTAATTAAAATTGTTTGTTTCTTAAAAAATATGTTCTAAGGGCCTTTTTTTTTCTGTGTATACAGAATGAGGAAATAAATTAGGCATCGAAATGTTTAAATTTCTTTAGCCATGTAAAGTAGCCTAAGAGTAACTAATTTACTTCTACTTGCAAAGTTTTTCATCTTATATTACTTTTACTGTCTTCTTTTATTTATGTAAACATTTTCTGGTCTTCTTTTATTTTTCCAAATCTAGTAATACATTTTCCAGACATAAGGAATTTCCATTTTCGTGGTCACTATTAGTGTAGTCTTTTTTAACTAAATAAGCCACAAATCACTTGCAAGTTAGCTATAAAACCATATATATTCATAAGCATTTAATTTCATGAATTAAATAAATACTTCACTCTCTGACGCTTTTAAGTGAAGGAAAGAATTTTAAATGCATTTGATGCCTTTCGCCTCCGATAATGAATGTTTCTGATTTCAGGAGCACAGCTGGGAGACAACTATAACCTGGCTGCACTATATAAAAATTAAGATCATAAAATCATAAAATAATGATAATGAAACAAACAGATTAAATGGGACCTCAGGAGATCTCTCTCCATATTCAAAGCAGGGTCAGCTAAAGGATCAGATCACATTGCTCAAGATTTTCTTCAGCCTTTGAAAATCTCCAAAGGCTGCACTACTTTCCTGGCTAAGCATAGAACTTTGCATTTGTCCTTGTTAAATTCCATAAAGCTCCTGTCCTTTCATCCTTCCAGCCTGTCTAGTTCCCTCAGCATCGCAGCTATGCCCTTAATGCATTGACTGGTCATCCCAGTTTGGTGTAAACTGCAAACCTGATGAGCATGTACTTTGTCACCTACTCCAGATTATTGAAAAACATATTAAACAGGATGGGTCCCAGGACAGATTCCTGCGACACTCCACTTATTTCCAGGCTTTGGGTAGCATGTGACCCATTAACCACTACCATCTGAGCCCAGCCATCCAAAGTCTTTTAATTTTCTAGTTGTCCAGCCATATAGACCATAGCATCTTCAGCTGAATACATGAATATTATGAGAAATGGTGTCTAAAGTACTGCTAAAATCTAGAAAAGTGACATCAACTGATCTCCCCTTGTCTAAGAATTCAGTCATTTCATAATAGAAGGCAATCAGGTTTCATCAGACATGATTTATTCTTGGCAAATCCTGACTCTTCCCTGTCAAATTTTTTCTCCTTTATGGGCCCAGATCTGAGAATGGTTTGATGATTTTCCCAACAACCAAATTACAGTTAGCTGGCCTTTAGCTACTCTGTTCAGCCCTTCGGCTTTTTAAACGGATGCATACATATGCCTTTCTCCAAATGTTTGGCAACTCCACCGATCTCAACAGTCTTTCAAAGTTGATACATCTGCGGATTTGCAATGCCATGAGCAGTCAGTGCCTCACTCCTGTGCTTAAGTTGAAGTCCTCTTTGAGCATTTCATAGCTATGATTCAATACACAAGATGCATGATCTGACACTATGCGTGGTGTTGCTCTGTTTGTTGAACTATGGTATAGCTGTCTAAAAGACACAAGGTTACTGAATTTTGTTTCTCCTAACTACATACAATGTGTTTTCTTTTGCTTTGTTTGTTGAAAAGCACGTAAAATGAAATATACTACTTATACATTGCAGACAGTGATTTTTTTAAATTTCATTTTTTACTGTTGTTCTTTAATAAGGCCCCAAACACACAAAATATTTGCAACAAGATGAAGCATTCTAGACTTCAGACTTCCTCCCCCAGGAGAAGTACGAGAATATAAATAAAATACAATACATCTGATACATCCTCCTTAATTTGTTCCTGAAAGGCACTCAGATAAAGTAAGCATAAATGTTCTATAGTACTAACAGAGTAGTTCTAGAGACATTAAACTGTTGGGATTTCTCCTCTTTTGTATTGAATCATAGAATATTCTGAGTCAGAAAGAACCAACAAGGATCAAGTCGAACTCTGAAGTAAATAGCCCATACTGGGATTAAATCCGCAACCTTGGCATTATTAGCAACTGGGCTAATCTCAGGGTCTACACACAGGGATAACAACCTCCCAATTTCAGACAAGAATAACTGGAAATTATTGGCAAAAGCATCTATTATTATATTATTGTGGCAAGCTTTATTTCATTTTGTTACACTACCTACTCCAGACATTGATGTAGAAAATATGGAATTACATACATGTATGTTGTGCACCAGTATGTCCACATGATTAGCATTATTGTAAGAGGTGTCCCCACTCTAACATTATTACATGTATGTCTTTTTAGTTCTTTTCCTTAGAATGCAGACAAATCTTCAGGCTTAAAAAAACCCCACAGCGTACAGTTGTTATATTTGCTCTCCCAAGACTTTATATAATGTCAGCAGTGGCAGGAAAGGAAGCCAGGAAATAAAAAGGTAATGAAACTTCCACACCATTATATACACAAACTGCTGCTGAGAGATTAACAAAATATTTCTTACTGCATGCCAGGTAGATCCTGCAGTGAGCTCAGATTTTTCTAGCAGAACAACATCCTTCAAGCCAGCTTTAGCCAAGTGATAGGCTAGGCTCACACCAACACAACCACCTCCAATGATCACTGTGTCTGCTCTATCTTTCCCCAAGGAAGGAGATGAGGTTTCTTTCCTGAAAAAAAAAAGAAAAATTACAAAAAGGCAATTTTCCATCTCTTTTGTTTACTGTTTCAATAATAATAAAACTTGGTGTCTGCTTGGCAATTTACACACCTAACTTAAACCCCAACCTGTTCACTTGTATCTTCTTTTAAAGTAAATGCTCTTGGAGGGTCATATATGTAAATAGTAGTAATACAAAAAAAAACAAAGTAAGCTTGCTTCCACTTGCAACTTTAAAACTTGTGTTATTACCCAATATAACTTTATATGTAGATCCTATTTTTCAATAACAAACTGGCCCCCCAAATGACAGTGTCAAAACCTGACTTTTCGAAAGTGCTACACAAAGTCTTTACAAAATGTCTCCTTAGTAGGGCTCCTTAATAAATTTCTAAAGTCAATGTCAGTAGACTGTGACAGTGTATGTGTTCATGAACAATGAAACTTGGATTTTATTTTTATATTCTGTCTATTTTGACATGTTCTTGTTTTCTGAAGACAAAACATTATAGAAACAGGGTTTTTTCAATTGCTCATACCTGCTACCCCACCACACTGTATTTTCACAACTACTTTAGGCCAGCATAAACCAGAACTGCTACCATAGGCAGTCCCATTCTTCTCCAAGTCATCTGATCTTCCTCTCTACCGCCTCATCCACAGACAGCCAAGCAGCAAGATACATGTGGAAATTTATAACGATTTTTTAAAAAGTCTTTCTTTTGGTGCGAGACAAGGTAGGACATATTAGTACAGTAGCAGTACAGACTACGTAAACCACAGTATCTGTCCCTTCAGGACAGTTAATCAATACTCAACTTTATCTCTCCTCGTACATTTGCAACTTCTCTGGCAACAAACTTTCTAATGTGTAACTAGTCTTCCAGTCAGAAAACAAAGCTACTAGTTTTATGTATTATGAATAGAGATCTTATGACATTTTAATTGCAATTGCAGGAGGAATGTGCACTATGCTTACTCTCTAAGTAATAATGAATAAATGGGAGGACAGAACACCATAGGTTTATGCATTTGGTGCATCACACACTTGCACATGTTCTTTTTTGTGATTACATATTAATTTTTGCAAGTTAACAGTAAGCTGTGTGTGAGACACACCAGCTCCTCTACTGAATTTTGAGGCAAATGTTAATCAAGGTCAAGCACAGAGGCTTTTCTCATGCTTCTTTTATGCTGTGGATTTGAGATTTTCTCACCTGACTTTCAGTTTTTTTCAAACCTTTGCCCAGGAGCCCGGCAAAGATCCGGGGTGCACCTTCCCGGTGAAGCACACCTTCACCCAGATGTTTGATCGTGCCAGTTAAAACTGGTCAGTACTTGTTCATCGGTATGGCCCAGAGGACACCGGGAGGGTGTCCTACACCAGGTCAGCAACGCATCCCGGCTGGTTCTGGCTTTGGCGCAGCAATGCGAGGCGCTGGGAGATATACCTCCTGCCCTCAGGTGATCCGTCCGGCCGCTAGGAGAGCATCGCAGGCCGGCGGCAGGCGCCCGCCCCTCTCACCGCCTTCCCTGCGCATTCCCGACAGCAGCATCACCGGGGGCCGCGGCTTCGGCCGGCGCGGAACCACGCGCGGACTGTGCGACCGCGCCCGGCCCCTCCGCCCGCCGCCCGCCCCCCGCCCGCACTCACCGCCCCTGAATGCCGAGGGGCCGCAGGGCCGCCGCGCCGAGGGGGCCGGGCCGGCGCGGGGGCTGCAGCCGTCGCAGGGCTCCCCGCAGCACCGCGCTCATCCCGCACACGACCACTGATGGGGAGCGCTGGCCTCGCACCGCTCTCCGCGACGACCTGTCCCGCCCCGCCCCTGTCCCGCCGAGCCCAGCCCTCCCGGAGGAGGGCGCCGGACCGCCCTTTGGCCGAAGGGGCAGCCCAGGGGGCACCGGCTGCCCCTCGAACTCGAGCCGGGCGGGGGCGGCGGCGGGAGGAGCAGGGCAGCCCCAGCCATGCCAGGGCGCCCTACGGGGTCAGGGGCCGGACCGGGCAGGGGGTGTCGCCCGTGGCGCTTCCCCCAGCGCCCGCCCCTTCCCGGGGCTATAAATGCGCGGCCGAAGGACGCGTCGGGCTGAGTTTCGCGCCGAGCCGTAGGAGGTTATCGGGCACCCGGCGTCTCTGGACGAGGAAGATGCTGCCGATCAGGAAGACCGCGAAACAGGGCAAAAGGGTAATTCTCCCGCCTCCCTCCCCCACCCAGCCCCCGGCGCTGCTCCCCGTGGGCAAGGGAGTGACGTCCCTGCCGTACTCCCTTCCGGCGCCCGCCGCGGTGCGGACGCTGCCCCGGCGGGACCGGGCGGTGCGGGAGAGCAGCCCCGCACCAGGAGTCTGGCAGCGGCTCAGGGCAGAGCTCCCGGCCGCCCCTCTAGCCTCCGCGGAGTCCTGCCCGTAGGCTCCCCAGGGGAGCTGCTGCTAGAGCGCCATGACCCGCGAACTGCGCCGGTTATCTCCCAGTAAGGTACTCGGTGTCTCTGCAGGTAAGGTGATCTTGTGAGAACCTAAAATAAAGCCATGATAATTATTGTAACTGTTCAGCATGGAGCCGTTTAAGACATTTGGACATCATTATGAGATAGATTAGATTGAATTAACTCTGTAATAGCTCACAGAGATTTTGTTTCTCTGAACACATAGACTGGAGCAACAGAGTTCAAGACCATTTTACCTAATAGTATTTGATATGCAAATTAAGCAGGGCTCACAACACACTGCAAATTAAAATTGTAAAGATTTTAAGGATAAACTGTCATTGAATTGGATTTCTGTCTTCAGCATCCTGCCTGCTCTATTTAAAAGCCCCAAATTGCTCTTCTCTTGATTAATATGGCTGGATATCAACAGTATTTGTAATATCAACCCAAACTCCTGTGTATCTATGCCCTTTGCTCCCTCATTAACTAAAGAAAGAAGCCAGTATAAAAAGTTACCCAGGCATCAGCCATTCAGGCCATTAAGGCAAAGCTATGAGCTTCTAAATCAAACTCTCTGACATATACTGATATTGCTACCCTGCACTGCTGCTTGGGAAGGTCAGCAGAATCATGTATCCATATTTTATTTCGAAGGACACAATTGCTATTAGTAGGGCACGTCTTACTCAGAACTGGTTTTGCACATTTTTATGTGTAGCATGTAAGTCCAGAGTATGAGAACAGAAAGATACAAGAAGAAGTCTTTCAGGTAGATGAGTTGCAAAGGAGCAAGGTTGGGGGTATTTTTTCTGCTTTTTATATTTTGGCATATACTCATACCACCTAACTTCAACACCTAGCGGAAGGTTGTAAGTTCCCCCTATAGGCAATGGACTTCTCTTGAGGGCTTACTTAAGATCTGAATAGTTGTTTTGAGATTCTTTTTCTCTCTACCAAGGAGAAGGTAGGCTATAGATAGACCAAGCAGGTTCTTCACTGACACAGTTGTATTAGGGAGGATTCGAGACATACTGAAGCTTGAAAACCCGGACACTGTTGGAACTCAATAAAGCAGATATTTATTACAAAAAGGGTGGCTTCTCCCTTGGGGGGAAGGGGAAAACCAAAGAGGAAAGTACGACACCCTACTCACTTAGGTGCCATTTATGAGATGATCTTACCCACTCCATAATACTATAAAATCCTCTGCAGCAGTTCCGGAGGGTTAGCAGGCTCCCATGATAGCAGGCATCCCCGCTAAAGGCAACTAGATCCTTCATGTAGAGCAGGCCAACCCGAACCAAAAAACCTGTCTGCTTTTTATACAATCAATGAGCACCTCTGCCCGGGAAGGCGTGGCCAGCACCACCCCACCAGAGGCTCTCAATCCCACCCTTTTAGTTATATATGTGCATCCCTTCAGCGCATGCGTGAGAACTTTAGAAATCCCCTAACGCATGCGCAGTCTGCTTTGGGGGTCTTTTCTAATTGAGTCGAGGGTCAAGCCTTCCTCCTCTCCTCTTCACCTTCTCCTTCAAATGCCCTTGGCAGACAATGAACCAATAGTAGAACACCAATTAAAATGATTTACACAGAAGTTCTCCCTCCAAGGACAAATTCTCTCTTTTATCAGTGAACTTGGCAGGGAGAATATAAACTACCACAGGTGGCTGGGGCCAAACACAGACCAAACAAAAAAGAAAAACATCAACATTCCCACTACAACAGTTCAGTTACATTCCTAAAGGTGGTTGAGGGAATATCCTCATAGGGACATTTGCACTCACTCTTTCCGTGAATAGATGGACCATGTGCTACAACTTCATTCATAGGAGCAAAGTGAAACAGTGAAAAGATGGCTCAAAAAAGGCCTTGGTTAGCTTTTTACACCTGCTGTTTCTTGTAATTTAATACCAGATTTGTGTAGTACCGGATCACCTGCCAGTATGGTTTTGACCTGGATCAGACATGAGCACACAACTGTAGGTCTCTGGGGCAGAACAAAACAATATTGATGCTGAAATTCAGCTAGCTATACACTCATTGAACCAATGGTATTTTACACAGTATATAAAGCAAAAATGGTGTGAAGAGAAGATGTCAGACACATAATAAACTTTGCAAAAAGTTATTTCCATTTTAATCCAATATGAACTGACAAAGTAAGTTTTTATTAAGTATTTTGTGCTTTGTGGTTATTTCTGCTGCCATTAGATGCCCTGATGCTAGGTTTAATGTATCACAATATATTAAGATGCCATGGTCTATTCAAACATGGCTTATGTTGCTTCTGTGTGTCAAAAGTGAAGATTATTTTAAAATGCAGTTTAAAAAAACTAGAACTGTGAAGAAAAACTGTTGTTAAATCCTGTAAGTGACTTGTTAAAAAAATCTGTTGAACTGCATTTAAGTACATATATAATAATAAATATAATACCTGTATGTGATATCAATATGTGTCTATTACTTGATGTTCAGTTAACAAGCAACAACTGAGGCTGCTTGTATGTTAAATTTTTTTTTTCTGCATACCTGTTCTCTGGATATTAAATTTCTGAAGCAAACTCCATCTACAAAAGATACTTTGGCAGGCAGGGAAAGCAGGGCTCAACCAGTGATCACTTGGGTGCCTTTCTCTCACCCCGTTTGAGGCATTTGGTTACAACTGCAAATTAGTTTATCGCAAGGACATCTTTACAAAGCCTCCTGACACTTACATTAAAACTCTTTTGCCTGTTTCCGCTGAAATAAAGATAAAAACTTGCACACTTCATTAAAGCTTTAATCAGGTCAATATTTTGGCAAGTCCACAGTGTGCAATGGAATCTGATGCAGAGGTTTGCAAGCCAGCACTTGGCCAATCTCTGCACAGCAGCACTGCACAGAGAAGTCCTGCCATCTCGCTGCAATGTCAGTGCCTGAGTCAAAAATGGTGACTCTCTCAGGCTTGGTAGGCTCCAAAGAGCCTTACACTGCTGTGCTTGGTACTGAAACTGGCGCAGTTGGCATACTGTTCCTTCTGTTTGGAAAGGCATACTCTCATCCTGCCTAAAGGGCAGGGCTGAGATGTCGTAAATGTTTGTCTTTGCTGGATGTACGGTGTAAGATAATTATATTAATGAAGGACAAAGTATCAAAAAAGAAAACCTACTAAAGGTTGAAGGCTGATTGTTAAAAAACCTTTCCACTTTGCATGAAAATCACACTTAACTCTATGTCCATGAGGCTTTTCTTTTTCCTACTCCCTCAAATTTCATCCATTGAAAGGCCAGTGTGCCGTCAAGAAAACTATGGAGAGGAATTGCAGTCTTACCTTTGATAAATTCTTTTCCTATACTCACCTTGTATATGTAGTCTTCATTCATTCATCCACTTTTTAAAATAAATAGAATTATGGTTGCAATCCAATAGCAGAAATAAACCCTATTGTGACAGCAATGTACTTTTTAGAAATTTTGAACAAGCCAATTAAGCAATGAAAGGAATAAAAAAAGTAATATATTTCAGGTGAAAACTAATGTGTTCTCATGTTTTTCAATTTAACAAAAAAAAATTTGCCACTTTCCTTGCACTAGCATGGAGTTGAAGGCAGAAGCAAGAGTAATCACAAGGTGCTGTAAGGTTTTTAATTTGGCATCTTAAAACATTTCAGGGCTGTGAAAAACAAAACAGGATTTTCTTTAATTTTGTAAATCTGGACAAGCAAACCCAGGCCTTAAAAAGACTGTCAGAAACTGCAGGCCAGCTTTTGAGATGTGTCTTGTTTGGTAGGAAAATGTTACATGATTACTTTTCTGTGATGCCTGTTGTGCCATTTGGTGTCACAAGTTATTTGTGGTAAGGCTCTATGAAGGTGGCATTTGTAGCTAAAAAACAAATGGGCTGATAAAGAGATTAGTGTGATAAGTAAAATGAATAATTTGTTCATCAAATGAATTCTTAATTAATAAAGGTTGTAATGAGTTAGAAATAAGAATGAGTTAATTGAGAGAGTTAAGCTTATTGTTTAAGCTAATGTTCCAGTGGTTCAACAGTTGCAGGATTTGTCAGGTACCCTGCTGTTTTATAATGCCTGTTCTCAGCATGTTTGCAGGGAGCAAAAGTTATGAAAGATTAACTCCAAAGTTAATGAAAAAGTAGTCCACAGCCACTTTTGGGAAAAGCCCCAACATGGTCGATCTTGAGGATAGGAGCAGCCGTCGTCTTCCCTCAGCAACAAGACTAAAAAGCCCGTGGGAGGGAAATCCAATAGTGGGAAAGCCCGCGAACTGAAAACCAGTGTGGATGAAGCCCGCAAAGCAGGGACCAAACACAACCGAACCCGTGAAATTAGAACCAATAATAGACTGACATGACTGAGAGGGAGGTGGTCACAAAGGGTATAAAGGAGAGGCTTTCAACCGTTGTGGGTGTGGACTGTGGCAAGGCAGGGGTCCTTCCGGTCACCCAGCGTGCTGATTTGCTTATTTGCCATTTTCAATAAATCCTGTATTGTTTTCCAAAATTTATCTGAGTCATTTGACTATATCATTAGTGATACTAGTATTTCATTTTAAGAACTTTTGCATATATTTTACAGAAGAATTTGAGACGCTGTTTTACTTTCATGGGAATGGAATTGGGCCATTGACTTCCAGTTCTGGGGACTGTATCTCTGAAATATAGTACAACTGACTAATGAAAAGACATAATAAAGGTGTACATATTAAAGCCTTATGCTGCAAAAGAGCACATATACCATTCTTTAAAGATAATTTCAAAAGGAAATTTATTACTTTTTACTATTACAGCAGAAGTATTTCTGGTAGCCTGCAGGTATTTATGTCTGCTTTGCAAATACAGAAAATGGCAACAAAGACAAAGGAAGGCCACAAAACTGAAGCACAGTAAGTGTTAATCTTTCCTCCTGCTTTCTTCAGGGTATTCTAGAGCGCTTGGATGCTGGAGAAATTGTGATTGGAGATGGAGGATTTGTCTTTGCTCTTGAAAAGAGGGGATATGTAAAAGCTGGGCCTTGGACTCCTGAAGCAACTGTAGAACACCCAGAAGCAGGTCAGTTCTACTGGGAAATAGTATTCATGTAGTGAATGTAAACATGGTTGGCTCAGTAATAACTATACAGGAACTCATAGTAGGTTTTCAAATAGGAGTGTTCCTTGAGTCTGTGTAATTACTTTGTTAAGAACAGCTTAGGAACTGCCCATCTTACCCCTTTTACTTGTTCTAACACTAGCCAAAAGCAGTTGACTGGGGTTTATATTCAAATTCTTATATGAATAGTGCAAACATGTAGTTTTGAAGATACCTCTTCAAAATGGTCTTCCAGTCTTCAGTAATTTGCATCTCAGGGACTTTTTGATGCAGATGTGGTTACATTTGTATTTAATAACATTAAGTGATTTCTCAGTCATGAATTTGTCCAGTCTGTCCTAGAGCTGATCATTTAAAGCTTATGATTTACAAAATCTCCTGAAAAAGAATTCTGCAGTTAACCATCTGTTTTGTTTTGTTTTAGTCATTCTAGGACTCTTACATATTTATAAGCTAAAATAGTTTTTTTATTCTTTCAGAGAAATAACAGTTTTTAATAAACATCATAATGGGAGTATTTAATGTTTCTGGCTCCACTATGAAATGGGGAATGATAGACCTCATAAGAACCTAAAAATTGCAATAAACAGATAATGGAGTAACACTCTTAAAGTGGATGGAGAAAAAAACGAATGACTATTCCACACCTTCCAGCATAAAGATTATAGTGTTTAGCATAAATAGTGCAGAAGCAGATGCTATTAACTATTTATGTATGCTTCATTACAAGAAAGCATTTGCACTAGTAATATGATGTGCAGTTAATCCCACAAGCCAATTCAGAATATCCTGGGGGAAAAAATTTTCTTTGTTCTGTGTTTGCCCTTCCAAATTAGTCTTTTTCTTCTACACATTGGAAGAAGGAAGAGGAGGGGAAAGAGAGATTCTTAGCTCTTCCTGTTGCATTGCTTTATACACCTTACCTGTTCATTCAGTCTAATTCCTCTCAGGCTTCAAGTGTCACTTATGTGTAGCATGCCTAATTTAGGGTTATGGACAGCCTTAGATAGTGCAGAGCTCCAGCAAAGGTTTAAGGATTGATGACCTAATTTGCTGACTCTCTTTGCTCATCCCAAAGAGAATTCCATTATCTCTCTCTGTTTCTTTCCACCTCTACCTTTGTCTGCCTCTGCACGTTCCAACTTACAACTCACAGCACTTATCCCATGCTCTTTATTTCCCCTTGGCTTGTTATTTTGCACCTCAAAAACCTTGACCCTCTCCACATGTCTCTTACAGGCTATTTATAAATACACCCTTCAGTGGAAATGTATTCACTGCTTTTTGGGGGGGGGGAGCTGCCTCCTCTCCATTATTGCTTTTTTGCTTCTGCATGCTCAGGGGTCATGTTACTTTGAAAGCAGGTGTAAGGAACACAAGGAGCAACTGGCTGAGCCAGTGGATGTAAAAACCATACAAACTACCAGAGCTGCTTGTTTTTATAAGGAAAGAAGGAAAAGGTGGGAAGTTCTGAGAATGCAGCAAGGGATTAAAAAAAAAATTTTAAAAAAAGTGAGTTTAAGGCCATTGTCTGTACTACGGGAGAGAAGTTTCACCAAACTGACAAGTTTAGAAATGAGATCTAAATATTTCTTCTGAGACAGATCAGGTAGTGCTTATTGCCCCTATCTCTTGTTAGCTTATATCTGTCTTTTATGGAATGTCCAACTCACAGCAGAGTGAAATGAAAACATAGTGTTATATATTATACATCTGACTCCTAAAATGCATCAGATTATGAACAATGGTTTAGTCTCATATGTGGCTCTTAGCCCCATTTCTCAAATGCTGGAGGAAAACACAGTTTCACTAGCATGCTGGAAGTCACACAAGTAAATTACCGAGTGGTTTGTGGTTTTGATAGTGCATCATGCTGTGGGTTTGATACCAACAACAGTGCATTCATTCCTCTGGTAAAAAACGATCTGCCTGAGGTTAAATGAGATTCAGGCTCATTTTTTCCCTCAAAATGTAGACCCAATCAAGAGTCTTCTGTTCACATATCTGATATTTTGGAGTATGAAGTTCCTTAATCCCGTGTGTTAGATTGTGTTTCATTTGCGTACTTATGTCACCATCCTTATTCACACAAATACCAGGCACTCTTCTAGGAATGCTAGAACCATATTTAAAGACCACCAATCATGGGGGTAAACAAATCTGGTCTGCTATTGAATATCATAGAGCATTTATGAAAATATTTGTAGATTTTTTTTTTCCTTTCCCCATTTCCTGACTGGTTTTCATCAATGCTTTCTCACTGGGGGGAATAGAAACAGAAATTACAGAGCACTAGAAACATACAGAGACAGCCCTTATATTTGGGATCAGTAGCCTATTGTAATGGTGTAGGGAAAAGAATACTCCCTAAATTATGAATCTTTGTCTCTTTGTTAAAGTATAAGAATGAAATTTGATCCCACCAGTTCATGCAGATTCCAGGGGCTTTTCACAGAATCACAGAATGTTTTGACTTGGAAGGGGTCCACAAGGATCATCAACTCCAACCCTTAAATGAATGGCCCCCGCAGGGATTGAAACCACAACCTTGGCATTACTAGCACCAGGCTCTAACCAGCTCTCAGGGACTTTTTGAAATGTAGCTCTGCTGTAACCTATGTTCCTGAAAAGATCTTTGTGACTGCTGAGAAAAGGAGCACTGTGTTAAATCACAATGGGGTAATTACAAGGCTGTAATTAGAAATTAAATACTGTACTACTAGAGAAAAGCAAGGACACTACACTTTCATTGATCCTTCAGTGAAAGCAAACATGCCTGCATGTATGCAGGTTGATTCTTGCAACTCAAACTGCTGATGTGAGCTTTTCTGGTGTGGAAAACTGTGTTTGTTGCAGCAGAAGGGAGTAATTTTATACTCATGACAAATTCGCGCATTTTCTTAATGACTCAGACTGTCCGTAGACAATGAGTTATGATAAATCAGGTCTTCAGGAAACCTTTACTAAACATCTGCCACAGAAACTGCAGTGTTCCTGTGCATGTAGGAAGTAAGTATCTTGTGTACAGTATCTAGGGAATAAATTATTCCTATATTTGGTATAAGCTGTCAAGCATTTACTTCTGTTTTACAGGATCAGTGGTGTTCTAGAAATTATTATAATTCTTATTCTGTGGATATACATATAAAATCAATTGACAGTTCCAGTTCTGTTCCTGCTGTGGCAATCACAGTGTACTGCTTACAGCCAGGAAGGCACAAACTATCATTGCAGAGCCTACTCCCAAAGTCCTAATGGAGGAAATTTGTCCATTCAAAGTAATGGCAACCTTTCCTTTAAGGTTGTTGTCTCCATAGTAAAATGTTGTCTCTGTAGTAAAATGATCATCTGCAGACATATGAGAAGAATTAACTTTGTGTTGTGAGTCACTTTTCTGGAGCAAGGAAGCATCTTTTAATTAAGGGTGTATTTAGCAAAACAGAGCTTTGATTTTGGCTGACTAGACTCTTTTAGAGTTTTGTCAAAGGAGAAAACTCAAAAATACAAAATAGAGGAAGTAATAAAACACTATATTCTTCTGTATAAATATCCTCTTGTCCCTTAATTTGTTGCCCCAATAGTTTCTTCTGTTTTCTTCTTCATAGTCTAGAAGCTAATGCAGCTGTTTCATTTGATGATCTTTTTGTCTGGTATTCCTTGTTGCTTTCATGTTCTTCTGTTATATGTCTGCTTTCCCTTCCCAAATCACTGTGCAGCTCTATAACTGGGAGGTCTGAAGGACTGCACAAAGTAGAAGATAGGCAAGGTGGCAGGCAAAGATGAATCTGCTAATTACATAGAAATCTTCAGTCATTCTTAGCAAAGAAAAATTAAGGAGAAAGTTTTCTACCTAACGTTCTGAGAGTGAGAAGAAAGAAATTCTACGCAGACTGGAGTACTGCTTCTGTGCTCTTCTAGTAAACACAGTATCACTTATTTTACAGTAACATTACATCAATAAACATTTGATTTTGGGGTAACACAATAATAACTGTACCCGACATCTGTTCTTTGTCTCTTGTTTTGCAGTTCGTCAGCTTCACCGGGAATTCCTCAGAGCTGGATCTAATGTTCTGCAGACATTCACCTTTTACGCCAGTGAGGACAAACTAGAGAACAGGGGCAATTATGTAGCTGAAAAAATAAGTGTGAGTAAAACAGTTTTGATGGTGATATGAAATGAATTGATTAATTTCAAAAGGTTTAGTAGAGAGATTATCAAGTACTTTCACAGTTTGTCATAACAGTTTTAGCAAGAAAGACAAGGACAAAAAATCCCAAACACAACAACAAAACCAACCAACCAAAAAAACCCCCTCAGAAAACACACAAGTAAAAACCTCACCAGCCTAGCAAAAAACAAACAAAAACCAAAATAAACTACCCCCCCCAAATAAAATAGGTCAAGGATGAAGAGAGTAAAGAGAATGCCCACATTGTGCTTTTTCCCATCTGAGGAGATTGGTTTACTGAAGTTTTGATACAAAGACTATAGGGAGGACTAAACACACAAAAGGCAAAAGTAGTGGGAAAAAAAAGAAAGATATGCTTTAACATCCAGAGAAATTAATAATCAGCTTCAAAAATGGTGAAGAATCCTAGCAAATAATGAGTGGCTAATTAGAACAAAATGTTTTTTAGAACCATATCTTCAATAAAGTAACAACTGAAAAAATCCAAGCTATACACTGTGGTCAATATTCCTCTTGTCCCATGTAAGGATAATCCGTTACATCAGCAGATGTACCACGCTGATGTTTCTTACCCCCTGCAAAAAGGAGTTGTAGGATGTTGGGTGTATTCACATTCCCAAGGTCCAGTGGGATTTCTGGCACAAGCATTTCTAGATAGCTCCTTTGAGAGTAGAATAGTTGCCACTGAGAGGTTTCTCTGATCCTTTCCCTTTGGTCCTATAGCACAAAATAGAGAAAATTCCCCAGGACTCAGGGAAGAAGGAATATCTTTGTATCTTGATAGCCTCAGTTAGAAATTAGAACAATCTGGACACTAGGGAAACACTTTAGGTTTAACTGAGGTCATAACAAAACATCATGACCAAATTTATCTGAAATGCTGTATCTTTACATTCAATAGATGCAACATTTTAATATCTGAAGTGGTAGTCCCAGAAACACAGTACCTCTGGAACAAGCCATGCTGCAATTCTTGCTGCCATGCAAAATTATAAAGGCTGGAGAGCACCTGGTATTGAGAATCCATTGCAGCAAACCTTTCAAAATTGATTTCCTGCCAGTTGAAGAAGCAGGTTCTTTCAGGATTTAAGTGGTTTATGGTTCCACCTCTCCGAGTTCCTGAACATGTTCCTGAGCACAAGGGAACACCATCTGTCAGCAATAGCCCTAAAAATCAGATACATCTTTTAAGGCAACCATGGAAAACTTCAGCTGAGAGAAAACTATGTAGATTCTAAGTAGTCCATGGACTGCAGAGAAACCTGTTGTAATCAGTACTTGCTATCTATCCCAAATAATGGGATAGATTTTCTCCAAATATTTTTTTCCCCAGCTTAACCTCTTTTTCCAAAGCTGTTCTGGTCATCCTGATTTACCTATAGAGGGAATCTGTCTTTCAGCTTAGGTGATTAATTAATCACAAATACTGATAAGTTTCCCTCTATTATTCTTAAATTGGTAACTTTAACATCAAATAATTAATAATATCTTTTAAAAAAATGCCTTAAATAATTCTGTATGAATATTGTATCTGATTTCTTTTAAATTATCAAAACACAAAAATACATTTAAAAAAAATCAATTGAAATTACCATATATTTTGTTTTCCATCCACAAATGTCAGAATAAAAGCACACACTTAAAGGTAACTAAATCTTTTCTAAGAGGCAAAGAAAATTCTACTTCACACCAAATACTTACTTTCCACAGAATATTTGTGTAAAATGTATTAAAGGTAATGTGTTTTTTGTAGTATTTTATAATATGATAACTTAGAGGCAGCAAGAATTTTTTTCCTAGTATTTGTTATTTTTCTTAAAGAATTTGATCTTCCTAATCAATATTATTTAAAAATCCATTTAAATTATAAAAGAATATGAAAAAGATATTATGGCTTTTGACTTTTTTTGTCCTTTTTTTTTCTCTGAAATTATATGTGTATCTCTGACCAGGTAAAATTGACATAATCTATATTCACACAGTGCCAGAAAGTGAATGAAGCTGCTTGTGACATTGCAAGAGAAGTGGCTAATGAAGGGGATGCTTTGGTGGCTGGAGGAGTCAGTCAAACACCATCATACTTAAGTTGCAAGGATAAAACAGAGGTTAAAGCAGCCTTTCAAAAACAACTAGAGGTCTTTATGAAAAAGAATGTGGACTTCCTAATTGCAGAGGTAAGTCTTTAAAAAAGTACTTGCCTTCAACTGGCACAATGTTGACTTTTAAGATGTTACTTTACTTTAGGGAGAACAACTATATATTGCTTCTTCCTTTAAAATTTTCTGCTGTGCTCTTGTCCCAGTAGTATCAGATATTTTACTAAATGCACACCACCACCTGCAGGTGTCCTAGAATAGGACCTTGAAACCTAAGTTTCTACCTCAGTCAAGTGAAATTCTATACTGGTACAAAGAGGATATAATAATGGGGTCTTTCTTCCCATACATGGTAATCAACCTAAGATGACTTTTCCAGATTAAAATAGTTCTTGGATTAATCCCTGATTTATCAAATCCTGTATGGGCAGTCTTATTCTGAAACAAAATTATCATTATGTTTAACTTACTTTTACTCACTGACTTTTAAAAATCCTTTTTTAACTGGGTGGTCAGTGAACTCAACCGAATTGTTAGTATAAATCAGAAAAGAATCAAGTCATTATATTGCTGGTGAATTTGGGGTCTGGATTAATGTATTTATGCTTCATTGCCAAGAAACTAAAGTAGTCCAGTTTTAATTTCTTTCAGTATTTTGAACATGTTGAAGAGGCCGTGTGGGCAGTTGAAGTTCTAAAAGAATCTGGAAAGCCAGTTGCAGCTACAATGTGCATTGGTCCAGAAGGAGACATGCATGGAGTGTCCCCTGGACAATGTGCTGTCCAGCTGGTAAAGGCTGGTAAGAATCTCTTTTAATATGCCCTTTAAAAGCAGGGAACAAAGTAATGTCCTTAATTATTGAGATAAATGAATGTGTATCTGAAGTAGGTAGCTTCCCAATTATATCTGATAAAAGTTTTGATTCTGTAGTAAAGTTTTTATGTGTACTTTACTAAAGCAGTCTTGTAAAAACAGATGAAAATGCAGCTATGAAATCCTTGATAATCAGAGTGCAATGGCTGGGAGCAATAGCCACAGACAGCTGATAATGAATATAGAAAAATCCTAAACCTACTCAAATTTCATTACAGACCCAGCCCCAAATTCTAGAATCACATGCAGGATCCAAAGCCACCTTTGATTCTCTGCTTATGTACTTTTGAAATGTATGAAGCATAGTTCAAACCCAGGATGAGAGAATTAAGAGGATGAAAAAAATTAATAATTTTGCCTATTCCCAGGACAAGGGGAAAGGCAGAAGAAACTAATCAGGGGCATGATGAATGATGGCACAGCGGTTTATTATATCTGTTTGGAACTACTCTTTTCCTTTCCAGTCAGAATTGAAATCCAAAGGTAGAACTTGGGTTAGGAACCTCTAACTATTTGCAGGTGTGGCTGTACATAATCAGACTTCACTGATTAAACACTGGTAAGAAAAGCAGCTGTAGAACAGGGGAAGATGTCATTCATCATCAGGAAGATAAAGAGGAGTGCAATTGAGATGCAAATGGAATGATCAACCTCAGCACAGTTGAGCTCTAACACATCTGCCTTGTTTTTATAAGGCTGGTGTAAAGATGGACTGTACTGCTTCTGGACTGCTGTGGCACAGAACTTTCACTTCCCACTTCCTGTGGAGATGTGACTTGAAGTTATTTTCCTCCTTCCAGGTGCTTCTATTGTTGGAGTCAACTGCCATTTTGATCCAGAAACTTCCCTGGAAACTGTGAAACTGATGAAAGAGGGCTTGCAGGCTGCTAAACTGAAAGCCCACCTGATGTCCCAACCACTTGCTTTCCATACACCTGATTGTGGAAAGCAGGGTTTTATTGATCTTCCAGAATTTCCCTTTGGTAAGACAAGGGTATCTTTTCTGTTGTTGTTGTATGTTTGTTTATTTATTTGTGGTTTTGTTTTATTTTATGTTCCTCTTTTTTTTTTTCCCCAGCTTTTAGTAAAGCTGACGCTGCAAAGTGTCCTTCTATACAATAGGATGAGTCCCAGTTGTCTTCTGGCATTTTCCAGGCAGATTACAGTACAGTATTGGATTAAAGATCATCCACATAGTGACAGTGCTTCACTAGTATCGCAGCATATGACTGAAAGTGAAATTACGATGAAAAGAGTTAAAATGCCATAATCTAAACTCAGTTAAAAACTTTCTTCTTCCCAGTGCTATAGAACCATGTTCAGAACAGCTATAAACAGTCCAAAGAAATGAACAAAAGCAAATACTCAAAAAAACACTATCCCACAAGGCCTATGTGTACCTGTGTAGGGATTTAATGTACAATGCATATGCAGAACTGGATATAGGTGCATGATTATTGCATAATAGTTCAGTCTTGTGAGTGTTACTGTGTAATTTAAGTGAGACTAGAGAGAAACCAGAAGGGGAACTTCAATGTTGCTAACAAATTGGCAGTTTAGAGGCTTTACAACTATGCTCAGGAGAAACTCTACAAAAATTGAAAGATTCAGCCATTTGTTGTGTATATAAGGCCTGTGTATTTAGGCTTATTTTCCCCTGCGGTGCAAAGGATCCCTTTAACATAAGGACAGAATCAGCTTACACATTTTAAGGTTGATTAGAAAAATTCTTTCTTTTTCAGATAACATACACCTTTCTTTTCAAGATCAAACTATATGGTATTAAATATTCACAACTTGAATTTGTAGAAAAAAATTAAGAGATGGATGTGATTTTTAGGAAGGTCATTGTTTTTCTTTAAATTCCTTTCTTTACATAAATGACGGAAAGAGAATAGTGAGCCTGAGGCATTCATTAAATGGTAATAACATGTCTGAGTTCTGAAAATATTCTGAGATGTTTAAAAGTGTTAGGAACCATTTATCCTATTCATTCCTTCATATAACTCCTCTGATTGCAAGCAAAAAAAGATCGAACAGATGCAGTAAGCAATCAAGTGAATTGAAAGATTCATTCTTGGATTGTATGTTTTAAGCAATCTGTATGAGATCTCCGCATTCAGAAATTTTGTGAATAATTGGCAAAGACTCATTTTGTGAATGTTTTCAATACCCAGAAGTAGCAACAGGTCACTTGATAGCAGATAAGCTGTTTGGTAAATCATCGTTAACCTGACCAACTTAACTGTTTTTTGTGAAAGGCAATATGGACAAAGAGGTATTTAGATATCTGAAGAGTACATAACCTCTGTACGGGCCAACAATATCTCAGTATCTAGGAAAGCATTAGCCATGTTGTATTGGCAAACTCCAGCATCTAGATGCCAGCAGTATTTATTTTTCTGTAGAACTTTATCCATTTTCCTGTGTTTTCCCTTCTGTGTTACTGGAATTTCTCTGAAATGTCACTAATTAAATAAGGACAATATTTTAGAAAGAAATGTCCCAGTCAGTGAAAGCACCCAATTATCTCAGAAGTAGATATATAGAGGGGGCAAATCTAAGAACAGGTTACAAACTTTTCATCAAAAACTGACGAAAATTTAAATCTCTTTTTACTATAAATTTTAACATAAAGTTAAGTTATAGATATTTAATTCTGAATAAAGCCAAGAAAAGAAATGGATTGACAGACATGGAAACAGAATGTTAGTCAATTTTGGGAAGGTGTCTTTCCATTTTAGAGAAAAGCATTTGGTGTGGGACAGTATCAAATATTTTGCAGAAGTCAAGGAAGGTGATATCAGTCGCTCTTCCCTTCTCTGCCAACACTGTAACCCCATCATAGCAGCCCAAATTTGTCAGGCAGGATTTGCCCTCAGTGAAGCCACATTGGCAGCCACCAATCAGATCCTTATTTTTCATGTGCTTTAGCATAGTTTCCATTGGATTTGATTCATGGTCTTGGTGGGCACTGAGGTGAGACTGACCCATCTGTAGTTCTCTGGGTTTTCCTTTTTTTTAAATGGGGGTTATGTTTCCCCTACTCCAATCACTGGGAACTTCACTAGACTGTCATGAGTTTTCAAATATGATGGTTAGTGGCTTATCCACTTCATCTGACAGTTCCTCGGGACCCTCAGATGCATCTCATCAGGTCACATGGATTGTGACAGGGTGGTGGAGAAGACAGGGAGACACTCTACACTGTTCCCCTGGAGTTTTGTTGCTTATAAAGGTATAAATTGAGTGCACAATGATGCATTCTTACTGTTGATCATTTGTGTAAATTTTGCACTAGTGTTTTCATGATATATGAGAGACAAGGAAATAATGAATTTTTGCTTCTGATGCTTTTTGTCAGCTCTGCAGCATTGTACACAAGCTTTTTTTTATTTGAACAGCTTTCTAAGATAGCTTAATCTAAGTTTTCCTTGTGATATTAAGACCACCTACTTTTCCTTTGTCCAGTCTTTCCCTCTAAGACCAATAATTTTCTGTTTAAGAATATTTAATTTTCTTCCTTCTGCTTTCTAATTTCTGAACCCATTTCTTAACTACACACTGGACTTAGAATGGATCTGCTTTGTATCATCTTCTAGCATTTTAGGAATTTTTGGGAGATGATATAGGGAGAAGAATCCTACCTCTCTACTGTATTACTGGAGCCTTACTGCCTTCCGACAGCTTCTTTGCCCAGTGGAGTGTTCAGTGCACAGACAGTGCACAGGCTTGCCTGATAACCGCAATGGTTCATCTCCTGCAGATGTGCATTAAGGAGTGGGAGGATTTTTATTCTTTCATTCCCATATTTTTATTCCTTAAAGTTTCTTCTTCAGTCCCTGGTCTTTTTTTTCCAGTTATGCTGCTCTTGTGCCTCCTGCCCTTTGAGGTGTGCTTTTATCTTTTCGCTTTCTATTCCTCTCCATCCACATGTCCTTCCTCTCAGCTCTGTTATCCCGTCACTCTGCTCACCACAACCTGCAACAGAGAGAAGGGTTCAAACTAAAGATTGCATCCTAACTTACCTACACACAGAACTTTCCACAAGCAATGACATGGTTTAAGGCAGCAAGATGCTTATGACTGGGATTCTAACTAAGGAATAGGCTAAGAAATAGCTACAGATCCCGGCTGAAACAATTGGCTGCCGTTAGCTGATCATGGAAAAAAAATGTAATAAGCATTCTTGAGGAATAATGAGCAGGCTTATTCCTATTCAGATAGACTGATACCTTCTACTTTCACAGATTAGTTTGTGGTAATCAGATTTCCCAGGTATTGCTTGTTAATTAGGAAACATAGCCATAACACTGAAAGTACTCCAAAATTTCAGCTAAGAACTCTGTCAGAATGGCAAGCATGCGATCAGTCTCAGAAGATACTACGTGTTTTTTTGCAAGGCCAAAAATGCTAACAAGCACAGGTCAGCAGAACACAGCACAATCAGAAAGCTAGACTTCTGAAAGTTTGCATCATTAATTCTAGGTCAGACAGTTCAAACAGGTACATCTACATCTACAATCACTTTAGCTAACAGAGTGCAAGTGTTTCAACAACATGATTTCTTACAAAAACTCTGCTGAAATGGACCATGGTGGAAACTTAAGATATGACTGTCTTTGCAGGTCTGGAGCCAAGAATTGTAACCAGATGGGACATTCAAAAATATGCAAGAAAGGCCTATGACTTAGGAATTCGTTTCATTGGAGGCTGCTGTGGATTTGAGCCATATCACATCCGAGCAATAGCTGAGGAGCTGGCTCCCGAAAGAGGATTTTTGCCAGAAGCTTCTGAGAAACATGGTAGCTGGGGCGATAACCTGAGCATGCATACCAAACCCTGGGTCAGAGCAAGGTGTGTATATCTGACCTGGAAAGCACACCTCTTGCAAAGGCTTATATTGCTCCATGCAGCAGACTGGCTTAACTCATGTGGAGGTCTAAATATCACTGTAAACATTCTATGTGTTAATAATTTTAAAGAATTAAAGCTGATCTTGGAGCAGTGAAGGAGCACTAGAGGAGCTCTTGAGAAAGTAATTTATGAAAGTGAAGATGAAAAACTGACAGGGTACTGTAGATCAGCTTCTGATGGTGAGTGGCTTACAGTATTCCTTTCAAGGATGGAAAGAATACCTTAAAGATACTTTTTAAGCATGTATCATTTTATTGCATGCTTTCATTCCTCTGTATTTAAATATAGTTAGATGACCCTTTGCAATGGTCATTTAGGCCACATTTCCTTCAGTATTGTGAGGTGCTGGGAATTTCCTCAATTTCCTTTTCTTTCCTTAGGGCAAGAAAAGAATACTGGGAGAACCTGAAGCCTGCTTCAGGAAGGCCATATTGTCCTTCCATGTCAAAGCCAGATGGCTGGGGAGTGACCAAAGGAGCCAGGGAGCTGATGCAACAGAAAGAAGCAACAACTGAACAACAGCTGAAGGAGCTCTTCCAGAAACAGAAGATCTAATCCACTGCAGTTGTGTAAATGTTAGAATGATTAATCTATAGACCATTTCATGCTTCACAAGAAAATCAGTGAAGACGAGTACTCTGCTGATTTATTACTTAAAATGTCATGAAAGAGACAAAATGCAGAAAGAATATGATTACAGAGTAAATGTGGCAAACTTTGATAATAAAATCTTTCTCTAGACAAATAGTTTAGAGAATACATAGTCAAAAGTAAGTTTGGATTCTCATAATAATTGAGCTTCTGTTAGCTAGGTGCCATTAATTGAATAGGCACATAAATACCTGGAAAGTAGTAATTGGCTCAACTCACATGTGCAAAGGGGAAAAGCCATCTCTAAATAAGGTATCAACAGACTTCAACTCCCAAGTCTGTTTTCAGTTTGGGATTATTTAGGAGCTTCCTCAGACCTCAAGATTTGTTGAGGACTACTGCAAGGACACACAAGCTGCCAATACTTCAGACACACAATTATTTGTAACACTTCCTTGATTTCAAAAGAATAAAAGGAAACTGAAAAATACATCTTGTAATAGCAATCAAAACATAAGGAGAATGAGATCTTGCAGAAATTTCTTATATGCAAGGAGAAAGGTTAAAAGAACTTTTAGGAAAGAAAAATGACATGTAAATAACTCACTGCTTTTGTCTCAAGGTACCGCATGCACAAGATTTCCTCTTCTGGAGACTAAAAGTCTTAAGAAATTACTCTGCAATTAAAAAAAAAAGTCAAATAAATTAAAAATAACATGATGGAGTAGTTTCGTATTATCTTCATACCTTAAATCATGAGACCTGAAACAGAACAACACACCTCCAGTAAAAAACTAATTTTCAAATGATGCATCTGATCTCTGGAAATCTCATTTTAAATATGTGGTTATCTCAAAATAGCAAAAAACCTGAAGGCTCGTAACATATAATTGTTTATATGAGTAGTAGAACATGCCATTACTTTAAAAAAAAAAAAGGCTGATTGATTCACTCTACAATCTTAGCTGTAACAAATGAAAAAACCCTGTTAGGAAATATCAATCTGCTTAAGTTAAGAAAACCCATGGACATTTGTACACTGATTTTGTTGAGAAGGTTTTTCATAGAAAGGGTACCAGTGTACTTGGAACCTGTAAAGGACACATTTCCATAGTTTATTTTTGTGAAATACCACACAACTTAGATTTCTCTCTATAATGTAATTCCCACCCATTCTATATTAAGGCCTTCATGAAAATCCCATTCTCTAAGTTAGTGTTGAAAGCTTTAGTTCAACTACGTTTTATGTATGTTTATTTCATTATTTCTATCCACATTGGTATTCTACAGTTCGGGAAAAAATATACAAAACTTCAATAGGGAACTTCAGTTATTCTTCTCAGACTGTTATTGGCAGACAGATTTTAAAAAAAGCCATCTCTGTTCCACAGGCTTGTAACAGATTGAAATACTAGCTGGAACTTTTGCCTGAAGCCAAAGGCAGACAAATCAAGAAAGCAGATATTTTAAAATGTAGATTATTTGGAAAGCATCCATCTAAGTATATATGCACTACATTAAACTCCTTTCCTTTCTAAATGCATCTGGGCATTACCTCTGCAGAAAGTGGAATAATGTAAAATCTATAAAACAGAAAGGCCAGATCTTTCATCATCACCAGAATGCACACAGCATTAAAGATATATGTGTGATAAAGTGGCTTAAAATACAGGCTACAATTGGTAAAGAAATGTTTTGAACAATCATTACCAATTTAGAGACTTCCTGTGGCATAGAATGCAGCTTGACCATCACACACTAACTATATAAGCAGCTAGGCTGATTTTTTTGAAACCATCAAAACATGCAAAAATTTGCATTGAAGTGAATGACTTCACAATACAGAATATTGAAGAACCTGGTATTAAGATGATAAGATTTTTGAATGTTTAGATACCCAGTTTGAAAAGGATGAATTTTAACATGCTAAGAATGATGAAAATTATGTAGAAGTGATTTGAAGACATTAAAAATGAGATCTGACCCAAGGAGGAAGCTATACATTCCCTGTTTAATTCATATCACAGGCTGGGCTTATCCAGAAATTGACAATGGGATGAAAGCAAGTTGTCAGGATGCTTTACTGATCGCTAAAGAACCCCAAACTAACAAAAAAACCCCAACGAAACAAAACAAAAAATCCAACACCTTTGCCTTAAAAAAAACCCCAAACCCAAAAACCACCAAGCAACAAAGCCAACCAAGCTTTATTTCCCATTTCTTTCTGCGTAACATCTTGATGAGGCATATAGGAACTGTTAGACATGTTACAGCTTTCACAGAATCACAGAATATGGTGAGCTGGAAGGGAGCCACAAGGGTCATTGAGTCCAACCCTTAGACCTGCAAAGGACCATTCCCAAGAGTCACACCACACGTCCATGAATATTATCCAAACACTTCTTGAACTCTGTCAGGCTTGGTGCTGTGACCACTTCCCTGGGGAGCCTGTTCCAGTGCCCAACTACCCTCTGGGTGAAGAACCTCTTTCTAATATCCAACCCAAACCTCCCCTGACGTAACTCCAGGCCATTCCCTCAGGTTCTGTCACTAGTCCCTACAGAGAAGAGATGAGTGCCTGCCCCTCCTCTTCCCCTCACAAGGAAGTTGTAACTGCAATGAGGTCTCCCCTCAGTCTCCTCTTCTCCAGGCTGAACAGACCAAGTGACCTCAGTCTCTCCTCATACGGCTTCCCCTCAAGGCCCTTCACCATCCTCTAATGATTAATTACGTGACTTGTTAAAGAGATAGGCTGACAGCACAATCCTAGGAAATTTGTTTCCTGAGAAAGCCTGTCTGAAAACTTAGATAGGAAGTGAACGGGGCTTTAGAAGGTTAGCTCCTGTATTTGGTACCCTAAGGCAGGATCATTTGTTCATAGGGGTAGGCATTTGTTTAACCTGTTTGGAAATACATCTAATGATGGAGCTTCCATGCTAGTGCCAGGCAGTCTGGTTATTTCACTATTCTTAACACGTTTTTCCTAATTTGAATATTCCTTGATGGAATTTAAATGCATTATTTCTTTTCAGCTCATTGGAGACATGAAGAATTTCTTCACTTTATCTTTGCTGAAGTCTTTCATACATTTGAAGATTTACATACATTCCTTGCTTCTCTCTCAATCAAACAGACGTTGTTCATTCATCCTTTCCCTGCGGCCTCTGAGTCTGTAGTTCATCATAAATCCAGAGATCACCTCCATCAGATCTCTTCCTATCTCTATGCTTTTTTTACCTGCAAGTGGAAGTGAAGTGATCTGAACCTTGGAAGTTTAGATCCAGAAGTGAAAACCCAAAGTCTTTGCTATCCAGAGAATAAATCTTTACTCATGAGGCTGAATGTCAGGACCCTCTGTGTAATCTCAGGTGTTGGCCTGATTTATTTGTAAACCACAGGAATGCAAGGAGAGGGTTATTGTGAAGAAGGAAATTCGTGAGTAACAAAATTTACAGAAAACATAACTTTTTTCCCTTGTTCTTTTGAAGACAAAGTTTTCTAAAAATCCTACCAAATCTGACATCCTCAGGTACCAAAATTTCTTCCTAAAGCAGTTTGTGACTCTGCCTTCTTTTCTATACTCACAGTGGCAGGTTCAGTGACATTTTTTAAATCTAAACATCAAAAGAAGTGGATTCATATATCTGTGTTGTTCTACTCCATGGACTTCATGAAATATTGAATATAAACTAATCTCATTTAATCTTGCATTAAGTATAGACAAAATCCCAAATTTTGGAACATTTAGGTTGTCCCTCCAAGTTCCTTAAAATTATCATCTCACTCCATGAGGATCAGTACAGCCAAGTCAGATATGGCAATGCACTTTCTGAGCCCTTTCTAATAACTAATGGTGTGAAACAAGGCTGTGTTCTTGCACCAACCCTATTCAGTCTTTTTCAGCATGGTGCTCCAAAGGGCCACAATGATCAGGACGGTATCTACATTCGATACCGTACTGATGGAAGCCTATTCAACCTAAGGCGACTGAAGGCCCACACTAAGACCTTAAACCATCTTGTCTGGGAGCTGCTTTATGCTGATGACGCCGCCCTTGTCGCCCACACAGAAGCAGCTCTGCAGCGTTTAACATCCTGCTTTGCAGACGCTGCTGAGCTCTTTGGGCTCGAAGTCAGCTTAAAGAAGACAGAAGTTCTCCATCAACTGGCACCTCATCATCCCCATATCACCATTGGCAAATCAGAGCTCAAATCAGTGCAGCAGTTTAATTACCTAGGTAGCCTCATCTCCTCGGATGGTAAGATTGACGGAGAGATAGACAACAGGTTAGCAAAGGCATATAATGCTTTCAGAAAGCTTCATAAAAGAGTTTGGCGAAATAAACACTTGAAGAAAAGTACAAAGATCAGTGTTTACAGAGCCATAGTGCTGTCTACTCTCTTACATGGATCTGAATCATGGGTCATCTACCGCCACCACCTGTGACTCTTAGAATGCTTCCATCAACGCTGCCTCCGCACAATCCTAAACATCCACTGGTCAGATTATGTGACCAATACATGTGTTCTAGAACAAGCAGCAATCACAAGTCTTGAGGCCATGTTGCTGAGAACACAGCTGCGTTGGGCAGGACACGTCTCAAGGATGAAGGACCACCACCTCCCTAAGATCTTGCTTTATGGTGAACTTGCCACTGGCTGCCACAAGAGAGGAGCCCCGAAGAGAAGATACAAGGACTCCAATCTCAGCCTTGGCCATATTGATCAACATAACTGGTCTACTCTGGCCTCCAGTTGGGAGGCCTGGAGACACACCATCTATAACGCTGCTGATGCTTTTGAGAAAGCACGCAGGATCACCCCGGAGGAGAAAAGACAATGCAGAAAGAATCGTGCCTTGCAGAATATACCACCTAAGGAGTCTTTCTGCTGTGCCTTTTGCAACTAGACATGTCTATCTCATATTTGCCTTTTTAGCCACCAGCGAGCTTGTAACAAACGTGGGTAGAGCCCTTCCCAAATCTTCGTTCGCGAAGCCTAGCCATGATGATGATGAAGTATAGACACCATTGAAATAGGATGGGGAGAATATTATCATAAAATATATTATTTCAGCAACTTGCTTTGCTACAAAATTCTTCACTACCTTCCCTTTATGTTCCACTTTATTGAGAGAGACGGTATTTGTCATAAATTTTATGGAATCATGATACTAAATTGTGTTAATGGTGTATACTATACCTCTATATGTACAACTCCTGAGACAGATAGCAATCAATTACATCCCAACATTAGGAATCTGCAGATGGACTTCCCATATATTTTGGTCAACTTCACCTCAGAGCTTCTGTGTCCAGTAAAGTTGAATATCTGAAAAGAAAAACAAATTTGTATAATAGGACTTGATGCAATAATGGCATAGCAGTTGCTATGAAACTAATTTCAAAGCAGATTGAGGAATGTATATTTGGAAGGTAGAAACATGACTCTTATCTCACAATTAACAAAGCAACAGCAAACACCCATCAAACGAAGATTTACAAGCATTACAAGTTGTCTCTGGGTGGTTCAAAACTGTTTTGTAGCATTTATTTGCAAACATTTGCATGTTATTGTTTCAGTGCAATTGAAGTGACAACTGTAATGTGGGAGGGAAATTCCATTATCAATTTTTATTTCTAATCAATCAATCAAACAAACAAACAAAAATATGTCAGTTTCATCCAAGAAAAAAACAAGAATAAGAAGACTC